TTGTAGCTGAATAGGTTGGAGGGTACATTCTCCGTTCTTCAATTTATTCTTGGTTACATGATAAAAACGCTGTACCTGCGCTATTACTCGTAGCATCTTAGTGTATGAACTATATCTTGACAATACCTGTAATACGTAGTTGTCTTCATTTGTGTTAACGAATACAACCTTTCGCGTCTCTTTATTGACTTCTTCCATATCCAGGTTGTGACATTTCAAATGCGGCCAGTATTTATCAGCGAGTAACAAAAATTCCGGCCCCGTAAACCAACAAGACTCTGATAATTGGCGGATGTTACAGCCGCGCGACACAACATCTGCCGGGTTGGATTGGGTAGGAACGTGTCTCCATTGCCCATTTGCGGTAATATCTTGAATTTCCGCTACTCGATTGCCAACGAATGCAGACAGGGTTGATGAGTGCTGCTTCAACCAATGTAATACAATCTGTGAATCAGTCCAAAAAAACGTTTCACCCTTAAATTGCGCAAATATTGGTTGGACCTTCTGATACAGTTTGGCAAGAAGTAAGGCACCACAGAGTTCTAGTTTAGGTAGCGACTTCCGCTTTATAGGTGCCACACGGGATTTTGCAGTGAATAGCCTGACCGTCACCTTACCTGATGTGTTTTGTGATCGGAGAAATATACAGCAACCATATGCGCGTATTGAAGCGTCACAGAAACCGTGTACATCAACCTGTTGATAGTTTATGAATAGGCAGTATCTCGGCACCTTAACCGATGAAAGCGTTGTAAGATCTTGAATAAATGTTTTCCAAGCTGAGTGAAGATTTTGAGGGACTGACTCGTCCCAGTCCACACGCAAAAGCCACAATTCTTGCATCATAATTTTGGCTACGAGTATGATCGGTGCTAGTAATCCAAGCGGGTCGAATAATGAAGACGCAAGGGATAAGATGGTGCGTTTTGTTACAATATGACCTGGTTGCGCATTAAACGAAAATAGGAAAACATCTTGCATTTGGTGCCACTTGATGCCTAGAGCGCTGGTGACTGTATCTGTATCAAGATTCAAACTCTTTGTTGTAGTATCGCTGATGAAGTCATGATGGTTTGAATGCCATTTGTCAAGATCGAAGCAACCCTTCTGTAGAATGGCCGTTAACTGATGTCTGATATTGGTGAGTTGATCAATGGAATCTGCTCCACCTAAGAAGTCGTCGACAAAGAACGATGATTTAATGAGTGCAGCGCCTATTGGGTATTGTGTTTCAAATTTGTCCGCCAAATACTGCAAACTCCTGGTTGCTAGGAAAGGTGCTGATGCAGTACCATAAGTGACTGTATTCAACTCGTAAGTACTAACAGGATCGGACTCCGTATCTCGCCAAAAAATATATTGGAATTTTCGATCTGGTTCATCTATCAGTATCTGTCGGTACATCTTAACAATGTCAGCCGTCAAGGCATATCGGTGCAAACGAAATTGAAGTAGCAACAAATATAACTCCGGCTGAATTGTCGGGCCGACCAGTAGAATATCATTTAATGAACGTTGCGAAGTTGTTGGACATGACGCATCAAAAACCACCCTCAGCTTGGTCGAAGTGCTCGACGGTTTTAAAACACAATGATGAGGGATATAATAATGTGGTTCGTTGGTTTTCGGAGTCTCAACACGCGTCATGTGTCCGAGCTCTCGATATTGTTTCATGAATTCTTGATAGTCTTGCTTCAGTGCACGATTAGATGACAATCGCCGTTCTACAGAATAAAAACGGCGCAAGGCGATATTGTGTGTCAAACCAAGACAATCTGGTGAATCTTTGAATGGTAACCGAACGACAATTCTTTCCATCGCATTTTGGTGAACCGTTTCACGATATAATGACGCAACATGTGCTGGTGACCATGACTTTGAAGCCGATTGCACTTCCTCTATCTTCCACATCATTTCTAATTGATCGGAGACTGTATCTTCAACTGATAATAGGCATTTTGCTGCTGGTGATGCAAATGGCTGACCCTTGTACTTGCCAGATACAATCCATCCTAATAGTGTTTTTTGAAGTACTGGAAAATTTTCACCTAGTTTGATTTGACCGACAGACAAAATATCAAAGAAACTTTCAGCTCCAAGCAAGAGATCAACGCGCTTGGATTTAAAGAATTGCTCATCGGCGAGAGGTGTATTTGGTGGAACCTTCCACGACGATATATCGATTTCAGAACTTGGTTGATATGCGATGTGATTCGTAATACCAAAGTTTAAAGCAAGTTCAAGATTTGAATGACGAGATTTGATTGATGTGAGCGTCTGATACTTTATGTTGGTCAACGAACTACCAATACTGGAAACATGCAACCGATGTTTATGTTTTGCTAAACTAAGCTTCTTTGAAAACTTCTCCGTTATGAAGTTGACCTGAGAGCATGAATCAAGTAAGGCTCTACCCACTTGATAACTTCCCGATGAATCCTTCACTAAAACCAATGCAGTGGCTAGAATTATTTGCTCGGCCGATGACATATTAAGATGGGAATGGCTGGCAACGTTGTCGTTGGGCATAGCAGCGTGTTCTGTGCGTCGTGATGATCCCGCGCTCTTAATATTCGTTGGCAATTGCGAATGATGCAAGAGAGTGTGATGTGGCTTTGCGCAAACCTTACATTTAAACGTTGATGTGCAATTAACCACATGATGGCGTGGCGATAAGCAGTTTATGCAGAGTTTTAGGCTCTTCACCTTTTCAAACCTTTGAACCACCTCCAGTGCCTTAAAACGATGACAATTCTGTATTAGGTGTTCATTGCTAGAACAAAATGAGCAAGAATTGCTAGATGTAGATGCAACAAATGCGTATTGGTTTGAGCGTCTGTTAGTCTTGGAGTTAAGACTATTAGGTTTACGTTGTGATGATGACTGATTGCCGTTTCCACTGTCAAGTGATTCGAGAAACTGGCAATGTCTATCCAACAATTTTGAGCAATCTTCCCAACTGGGTAATGTGTCAAAGTTACGCGATTCATTCCATTTCCTACGTGTAATTGCGTCCGTTTTTTGCATGATTAGCGAGATAAGTAGAGCCTCACATATTTGTTTCTCTGTACCTAGCGAACAGAGTGAACCATACAAAGCGGATGCATTGTTTACCAGACTACGAAGTTGTTGGCTTGACTGACCCGATACTGCTGGTAGATCAAATAGTGTCGCGATATTTTCGGCGAAGATTAGGCTATTATTGTCATAGCGCGATTTAAGCCTATCCAGAGCCTTTGGATAGTTTTCATTCGAAATAGGAAATGCCTGTACTGTCTCTAGAGCTTGACCAGTAAGGCAGTTCAGTAAGTGATTAAATTTTTCAATATTTGTGAGGTATATTTCGCGATCTATGATTTGGAGAAACGAATTAATAAAATTGTTATAATCCGAGTACTTACCACTGAATGTAGGTAATTTTAACAGTGGTAATTTTTTACTTGAGGTGGGCATCATTGCTGTTACGTCTAGCACTGATGCATTGTGGGCCTCTTCCTGCAGTTGAGACATGATTAATACTTTGGTGGAAACGTATAGGTCTTCTAATTCATCTCTAGCTGAGTCAGTTGCATCTAATTTCTCGATCAACGTCTGAAAAGCTAAGATTTGTTTAAAATATGATTCTAAAATACCTAGTCGACATTTCAGTTCTGGTTGTGAGAGCGAATTACTCTTTCCCTTGACGAACGCCTTGATTCTTGAAATACTCGCTTTCGTCGAGGCTCGCTGTTGTTTTAGTTCTGACAGTTCTGCCGTAGTGGTTGGCTCTGCCGTTGCCATTGAAACAGTTGTAGATACTTGAGAACAGCAAAGGATTTGACGAAGTCGAAAAGTCACAATAGCAACAGTGAGCTTTCCGAAATTGAACTGCTCTTACGGTGGTTGTTGTCAGACGCGACGTTGACGAACCCGTACACTTACTGATTGGAAGCAAATATTAACCAGTAATCAACAAGTAAGTTAACTTGTTGTTGTTGTTGTAATTGTTCAGCGTGACCTTGATGCGGACACGAGGTTCTATTTGGCGCTTAGCAGAACCTAAGCCGAGAACCATAGAATGCACAATAGTACACACGTACGATAGTATATAGTATATATGTACAGATGTAGGATATTATTAAAGTTAGCACACTTTAGATATATAACCGTTTAGGAGCAATACTCACACGAGCACATTATGGTTACAAATTAACCAAAAACAATAAAAGCGAAAGTATGTACAATCAACAAGTAAAGGTATCTTGTTGTTGTTATTTTAACTGTCGAGCACGACCTTGATGCGGACACGAGATTCTATTTTGAGGTTAGCGGACCTAAACCGAGAACCACCAATTGCACAAGAGTATATACGTACGATAGTACATATGTAATATATGTATAGATGTACGATATATTATAATGGTTAGCACACGTTAGCTATATAGCTGGTTAGAAAAAGTATTCACACGCGCACATTATGGTTACAAATTAACCAAAAACAATAAAAGCGAAAGTATATACAATCAACAAGTAAAGGTAGCTTGTTGTTGTTATTTTAAATGTCGAGCACGACCTTGATGCGGACACGAGGTTCTGATTTGAGGTTAGCGGACCTAAACCGAGAACCACCAATTGCACAAGAGTATATACGTACGATAGTACATAGGTAATATATATATAGATGTACGATATATTATAATGGTTAGCACGCGTTAGCTATATAACTGGTTAGAAGAAATATTCACACGCGCACTTTAATGGTTACAAATTAACCAAAAACAATAACAGCGAAAGTATGTACAATCAACAAGTAAAGGTATCTTGTTGTTGTAATGTCGAGCGCGATCTTGATGCGGACACGAGGTTCTGGTTTGAGGTTAGCGGACCTAAACCGAGAACCACCAATTGCACAATAGTATATACGTTCGACAGTCCACAGAATAGCCGTGTGGAAGAAATGCACACACGCGTACACTAATGATTACAAACTTAAAGAAAAAATGATTACCACACGTGGGTAATATTTAGATTTTTTAACAAATTGGAGATTAATAACCACTATTAAAATTGCAAAAAGTCCTGTCACGGTCGCCAATGTAAATTATAAGCGTTTTTATAATTGGGTTTTATGATCTTTATTTCAATTTCTTTAACACAATGTAAATTATAAACGTTTTTATAATTGGGTTTGATTTCATTTAGTTTATACAATTGAACTTATACAATTTCGGTTATTGATTGTTTAATCACTTTTTTATGTGCACCCGTGTGTTGACACGTTCGCGATCGAAAAACAAGAGACAGAATCAAACCAACGGAGTTTACTTGTAGCCAAAAAATATAACAATAAAATTTGCTCATCTCGAGCGCAAAAAACAAAAGGCAATAAAACAAGACTTAGAACCGTTGGTTTGATTACATCTTATACAGGGTTAGTTAGATAAATTAATTAACCATATATTAACCATATAAAATATTATATATATATATGAATTATATAATATATTAATTATAATAATTTAATTATACAATATGATTTACAATAGATTAAAATATAATAAATTATAATATATAAATCATATAACACATCAATTAATAATTCTACAGAATCCTACAATATTAACAATTTGACTTTAACCGCTCTAACAATTACAATGCAAAACAATGCACCTGTTCACTCATCGACTGTAACCATGGCCAATAGAAGTCTTCAGTGACTTGAAAAAATATATTGACATTGAAGACGTTAACAAAAAACACTATTTGAGGAGTTCTACTTCGAACTATATTTTAATGTATTATATTCACATTAACAGATTTCCTAACGTCCACAATTTGCTGCGAGATATAAATATAATATGTATAGTAAGCAAATATATATATATTTATAAATATACGTATATACATCCTCTGAAACATAGTGCCGAATGAACTGCTAATAAAACTGCGAACGAAGAGCTGCGAAACTATTGCTTATTCGAATGATATTGCAATGATGGTCACCGGAAAATGTGCTACCACTCTTAGAGATATTCTACAAAACGGTTTTAATATCTTAAACAAATAGACACAAAAATGCGGCTTTGACCCCTTAATTCCAACAAAACCAAGATCGTAGTTTTCATCAGAAAGCATACGGTTTCAAATCTTTCTCCACACTCTTTGTGAGTTATTATAATACATTTTAAAAAGGAAACTAAATTTCTAAGTATTGTTTTCGACGGGAAACTGATATGGAAGCAAAACACCTTAGAGCATGCTAGGAAAGCCAATATAGCGCTCCTCTTATGCCAAAAGGCTTTTCGTAAGTAGTGGGAACTGCAAACACGGATCACTCAATGGCTTTAAACAGCTGTCATTAGACCTGCACTGCTGTATGGCATCACGGTATGATAGATAGCTCTCGACAAATCTTCGTACTTTGTGACAGCTTCATCTGCTCTTAGACTCAAAGCTACCTCACAATAAAAAGTCAGTGAAACCTTCGTTCTTGACCTTTTCAATTTTACTCCTTACAATATTGACTACATTTATTTCCTTTAAAAAATTCAGTGTCGAATTTTCGTCAAGAGATTTATGGACGTCAGGTGGTTTCTCTTTAGGTGACGGATTGTCCAGTTTTAATGACGGATCCAAAACAAGTAGTGGTGCAGGCAGTGGAGTTTTCTCATAGAAACTGAATAAATCTTCCTACTTTAGGTTCCGGATCGTTTTAAGCACTTTGAGCTTCGTCAAACGTTTTAGGTGGTTTTAATCACTGAATTTTTCCTCCATATACGGTAATATAATTGGCCAATATGCCTAAGTGGAATCCCTAGGGAACGCTGGTATAACCTAACCTAAGTTTTTAGAATATACCATTGTTAAGATCTCGTATCGACATTTCATCTTTTAACGTATTATGTTTTTTTGAATATCCTGTATATCGGTAAATATTGATAATGGATCCCACTTTCCCGTATGAGTTTTTTTGAGTAACCTGTACATCGGTAAATTTTGATAATGGATCCCACTTTCCTGTACGAGTTGTCTTGAATAACCTGTAACCTGTATACCTTCTTGTACGAGTTTTTTTGAATAACCTGTACATCGGTAAATATTGATAATGTACCCTACCTTCCTGTACGTGTTTTCTTGTACATCGGTAAATATTGATAATTGACCCCACCTTTCTGTACGATTTTTTTTGAATAACCTGTACATCGGTAAATATTGATAATGGATCCCACTTTCCTGTACGAGTTTTCTTGAATAACCTGTACATCGGTAAATATTGATAATGGGTCCCACCTTCGGGTACGAGTTTCTTCATTTCTTGAACAGTGGAATCATCTCGAAACTTAACGACACATTCCCAAAGAATATCTTGAATGTACGTACATGACGCATGCATAGTTCTCATTGTTAAGAACCGCAGAGGACAATTATTAAATAGAATAATATTTTTTGCTTTCCCTTTGTTACACACCCACTTCAACACATACTGCATCGTAAAATATTATTTGTGAGCATCTAATTAAAAATTCCAAGCCAAGTAAGCATTTAAACATTTTTTTGTATATGTGAAGTTATTTAAATAACAATTCGTCCTTTGCAAATTGAAATGAAAATGGAAGTGTACGAATTTTGAGCATATAAACGGAAATTCCTATGAGAACATCACATACACGCACTTATAACTGTTCCAAATACACATAAATATTTATATAAAAACGAATTCTAATAAAAATAACTGGCGACATTGCGGCGCTAACAGTTATTTCCTCTTCCTCCACTTCCTCCACTTCCTCCACATCCTCCTCAACAATTCAGCAATTCAACAGTGCAACTTCAACTGAATAGGATTGGATTATTTTTGACTATGACGAGATTTTGTACTCACAATCGCTTTGCAAGGATGTGCATTAAAATATGAAAAATTTCAAGCCACAGGAATGTAAACCATAATATCCTTACACACTCCACTACATAATCAAACAGTTCCTATGTTCACGGAGTTTTTCTTTCTCCTTTGCGAATTGCATCCCTTTGGGTTGTTTAATTAACTAATAAATTTAACTACATCCTTAACGCGTAAGTGCGGTGAAATGAAAATTAAAAGTCCTTCTCGGTTCGATATTTATTTACCATTACTATTACTAAATAATATGCGTTCATATATATTAGATACCAGGAATATTGTGCAGGACCAGGACTCTGTTTAATTGGCATTCATAAGCCTGTGTTTACTTTTAGTGGAATTTATTCATACTCGTCTACACGTACAAATAAATACTTAATTAAACTGCTGTACTTAAACGCAATTTAATCATTTATTTTTAGATAAAATATAATGGGCTTTAATTGAATAATTTAGTATTTGAACACTTAAGTATACACACATATATGTTAATTGTTAATAAAATCAGAAAATACGTTTCGCATATGAAATGGAAATGTTCACGTATCCATGATAATGAACAAGCCTCCCGTGCTCATTTCATATAAAAATTGTTGATTATTTGAATATTCATTATTTTTTTTTTGTAGAATAATAATAAGTTAATAAGTTGTCATATCCTAAATTTTTTTTTTTTGATATTATAAAATATATCATATTTAAATCTTATTGTCTACTCATTTTATACGTATATAAAAAAGGCAATATGTCAATAAATTCGTTCTTTAATTATAATGAATGGTGATCAAATGATAGCTTTGCATCAAATATGAATATTCTGAAAAGACATCAGTGAAATCACAGGATAACCACAGGACTATCAAAAACACGCTGAAGAACTATATGAATATTCTGCAAAGACATTAGTGAAATCACAGAAAATTTCATGCGGTTAAGTAACGCTAGATTCTTAACAGCCAATTTTTCTTAGGACTTTAAGCGTAGAGTACAAAGTTCTTTTATCTTTATACACCATACTGTATAGTAATGCCAGTGCATCAAATATGAATATCCTTAAAAGACATAAGTGAAATCAGGATAATCATAGGACTATCAAAAACATGCTAAAGAACTATGTACTCTTATTAACTCTTTAGTTAAAAAATTTTCTTTTAGGACTAAACATTCACTCCTAAAACGATCAGATCGCCCTGCTGTAGGTCAAAACTAAACTTAATCGTTTAATATTATTGTCATTTATCTTGCAAGTTATGTCACTTCTTCCTCTAAGAACATAAGGTCCCCAAACCATCTGTCCACAGTGTAAGTGACTTTCTATCCTTTTCTAGTTCAATTATAAATAATTAGGGGCTCGTCGGATAAGAATTTTTTGTTATAGTTAAAGTCAAAACTAAACTGATTTTATATTTTATTTTTATTGTTACTACTCTTTCTCATTTATCTTGCAGCTTTTGTCACTTCTTCATTAAATCTTTAAACCATCTATTCACATGTGACTTTCTATTCTTTTCTAGTTCAAATATATATAATTAGGGGCTCGTCAGATAAGAATTTCTTGTTATAGTCAACTTGTATTATTATTATTATTGAGCACTTTTACTCTCTATTAACTGCGAGGTTTCTTTATAACCCCTTTCTACGCCTTAAATGGATTATTGTTTATCACTTCATCAGACTAATCAATAATTGACCTCAGAGTTATAGGCTCTCTGACATTCTGAGATTCAATAACTTGTGATTGCTATAATGTGACATAGTTTTTTAATGTATAAGTAAATAGTTTAAATATTTATTGTTAGTCTGCAAGAAGAGAGATTGAAATGAATATATCTGCTACCAGTCTATGTTCATAGTGTAATCCACTAGACTTTCAAATCAATTTTTATTTGCTAGCTTATTTTACTACTCATCATTTTTAGAGAAATACACTTATGTATATATATTAAGCGAAAATTAATCAGATTATTTAAGAAAATATATGAACAAATGCAAAGTCACTTTAATTATTTCATCAGAAAAATGAAAAAGAAATTATACGCATTAATGACTCGTATTATTATTATTATTATCGACTAAATTTGGCACTTTGTAAATCATTGCAAAAAGTGACCCTTAAACAAATAACAATTTCCAGTTAATACGCAAATCAACACTAATTTTATATCAAACTCCCATTCAATATCAAAAAATCAATACCAAATGATGCGCATAGATAGCACCCACAATCTCTATGAAAATAATGAACGTCATTAGCGAAAATATCATATCTCAAAGCTTATCAAGGATTGCCTAGTAACATTGACTTTTTTGATGTCGTCCCAATGTACATACATTCGTACAAAAGCATGTGTACCGAAAAGGACGAATATTAATAAAAAAATTAACGAAATTACTTTTATTCAAACTTATAAATATAAAACCGCAACCAGCCCCCTGCTTCGTAGCGCTTTAGTGGTTTCAACAGGGAAGACCGAATACAATTAAGTAGAGTGTATACGGGAGTTGGGATTGAATCGTCATTACAATGTCAAGCTGCCTTGTTGTGAAGAGAATATGGAATATAGCAAGTAAAGATATTTGTCATGGCATTCATTTTTAAGGTACAGTAAATAATATTTATAAATAAATTTCTTAAAGATTTTTTCAATATTCGAGATATACGAGAACATCTAACTTAAAATTAAAAATTTAATTAATATTCTTATAGTCTATAAAAAGTCTATTATTATATGGTAGTCTTTTTAATAATAAACTTCCAATACCATCTGGTGTTTTCTTAGCTGCATGAGAACTTAAAATGATAAGAAGACACAGAAATATTGTTGGAATGAAATTTTTTCATTATAATCTAGTAAATAACTTCATGGCATTTATTTTTTGAATATGATTTTTGACATATGTCTGCCACGGCTACGAATTACATGGCCCATTCGATCAGTCCAATTTTTGACTATTATTTTTAACGGCACTAAATGTGACCACGTGCCGTCAGCGTCAATGGATTCCAATGCTTCGATAGTTGCTGGGTTGTAAGTTATTGGCATAAACCAAAGACTTAACATAGACCCATAAACATAAGAAGTGATCGAAAGGCGTAGAATCACACGAACGAGAGTATCAGTTAATTTCGAAATAAATCGATTAACAATTAAGCTGTATTGCAAGTCTTTTTGCAACCAAATGTCAAATATTGTCGATGTTTAACTGATTAATTTTTGGATATTGTTGACAAAAATTCAGTCAGCATGGCTCAATAGCGCTCACCATTCACCGTAGCACCGTAACAACAGCTCCTTCCTCATTTCGGAAGAAATAAGGGCCGACGATGACGCCAGCGTGTAAAACGCACCAATTAGTCAATTTTAATGGATGTAATGATGATTCGTTAACGGCTTGAGGATTATCTTTGGTCCATATACGACAATTGTGCTTATTCACTAAAACTTAAAATGTACAATTTTTTGCGAGTAAAATCTAACTCTGAAGATTTTAAGAGCATTATTGTTGCTTCAAATGTTTTGTTCCATGAGTTGCGAGTATTTTTTTGCTGCTCTGAAAGAAAAAAAATACGGTTTTTGATAATACTTTAGTAAGTGAAGTAAGGGATTTTGCTTATTTTTTCATTATCAGTACTGACTCTCCATACTTCAATATCTTTTTGACTAATATCTAAAATAAATAAAACTATTTAAATTTATAAATTATAAATTCAAGACTTCTTCTAAATCCACTTTTTTATTTATATATATATTTTCAGCGTATGAAGTTTACTTTCCAATGTCTGCAGTGAAAATGAATTTGCCTATAAATGAGAAATCGGAAAGTATTTTTTCAAAAATACCGCTTGGCCGTTTCCAGGTTTTAGCTGCTGTTAACAATAGTGCTGCGCCCGATTATATATATAGTATGGAAACGAATAGTTTATTATATATAAATAACGAAACGGCTGAGATATTCATGAGAAGTGGCTACCATAGTCTTAGTGAGAAGACCAAATTTTTAATAACTGCCATACCAAAAAGCAGAGCAATGGGCAACAAGATGGCGCACATGTCACTTGAAATAAATCCGCAAACTCAAGATGAGTATTGCCAAAATTTAGAAAATATTTGCTTTTGGACAGAAGCTCATTATACTATTTTGGAAGATGCAAATAAAAGTATGGAGGAGTTTTTACCTGTGCTGGTTGGATTGTTAAATCCACTTGCTGCACAGTATCTCTGCGTGAATTGGCAGTTAAGATACACGCTGGAAAATGGTAGTGACTACTTTGCTTTGAAGAATAATCTTATTTATACCAAAATTCCATTGGATCATGAATCTTTGAATGTTACCGAAACTAGCAACCTGACGGTTGTAGTTATTTGCATGGTCAAGACCCAACCGGATGTTGTGACTGAATTTCAAAAAATGCTAAATATTACAATAGTGGATCGTAATGACAATGGACCAGAGCTACAATATAATAAAACATATCATTATAATTTGGAAGATCCACATTTTAGAATGGTAAGTTGATCAAATTTAAACATTTCCTATTAAAATTTAATTTATTGATTATTTCTATATTTGTTCATTCGTTTGGCAATGAAAAGTTTCAGGATTTTATTCAGTGATTTCGTGGTCATTAAGAAAGTTTGTTGTGATTAGTATTATGTAGTCATTTATATGGCATGTCTGTGTTCAACAGTCCGCATGTCTGCGACTATTTGTCTGCTCGAATAAGTTGAGGCTTCTGTTCGTTCTGTCAGCGTCTTTTTGTCTGCTAGGGAGCTTGGGAGCTTGGGAGCTTTGCGCTTCAAATTGGACTTTGAATGCTTTTTAATAAATGAACTGGCTGCACGCAATCGTCATATCCTGCGTTTTCCTATATACAAATGTTTTTTTGTTAGGTAATTAGAGCGTCTACATTCGTTTCAGTTTTGCTAATTTATTGTTTTATCACTCTCCCTCAAAATTCACATATCGCATATGACTAAAATATAAGGAAATAACAAGACGCTTTAATTTTTGAAAGAAAAGATGGTAGACACTTACTAACACAATCGGGAAAGTACAATATGGAGACGAACTGGATAAGATTATTACTTTAATATTTTCATGTAACTAATCTATGTAACATAAAGAGTACAAAAGGAAAACTTAAATCTATGTCTAGATAATCCTATTAGTTTTGTTTTTGTGATTCACGCTATGGAACTACTACTGAAATTTTATTTGAAAAAATTTTGAAAGTTATTCAATGTATTATCAACATAAACTAATCGAAATATTGTAGAATATTTTATATAATTATAAAACAGAATATTTTACAAGAAAAAGTAGTAGTTTATTTCAAATATGATTTTGTACTAAGAATTTGCGGATAACCATTTGAATACCTTTATGTGTTTTAATAAATAATTAAATCACATAAAAGACTTAATCGTGTCGGTATCCTACAGGTCTATAGGTAGACCAACTGTGCCTACTATTTTACTTACTTAATTGGCCATTACAGACATGAGTCGTCCTTGGCCTACTACTTTGCTATTATTAAATCTGCGTATAGCTTTAAAGGTACGTGGTAAAATTTCAACACCATCGTTTAGAATTGAGAACTTTAAGTCTACTGCTTCAGAAGTATAGTTGGCATTATTATCGTCACATAGCAGTTTGAACATATCTGGTATATATATTTTTAGTGCACTTGCAAACCGTAACCGGACTCGAGTATTTATTCTTGCTTGAGGCTTAGGTTAGGTTAGATTAGGTTAAGTGACAGTTCGGCAAGTTGACAAACTACCTTTAATTCTACGGGTTCAATGTGATACTACTACTTAGTAGCTTTATTTATAAATATAAAATTAAATAAATATTAATCAGCATTACTACATATATATATAGTTTATAGCAGTGACAATTTTGCCGTCTGCCGAAGGTTGGGTTTGATGTTCTCATTACAACATCCCATAAAATAGTATGTAATATCTTTAATAATATGATACTAACATTATACTAACATTTATATAATATGACATAATAGTATGTAAGATCTTTTAAGCTTTAATTACAATAACTTTTAAAAATTACCATTCACAAATTTTTTGTGTAATTTAACACGTTTTTAATAAATTCAGTTAATAGGCCCCAAATCAGACCATTTAGAATTTGTGGTGTTTTTTCAAATATAAACAAAAGTAAGGAACCACATTCGTAGTCCAGTTTTTGGCATTCATTGACTAAATGAATTACATTTTTTCTCGTTTTAATGACTTTCGTTCAGAACGTAATACAGGTGTAAAGGGTTTTAAAGATTATTCAAATCATTTCTACTTCTGTAACTGTAACTGTTACTATAAGTAACGTTCGAGGTGGTTTTTTTCCCTTGCCCTTTCTATAAAATTTCTCCATTAGTGAATGCTTCTATAATTATATTTTTCTATTACAGTTTTCATAGCTAGATCGCACATATTTTTGTAAGTCTAATATAGTTTATTAGTATTTCTTCCGTTATCTTCTACTAGTACACATAGTACATATGTCCATATTTAAAATTGTTATACATAGATTGTTTTCTGGAGCAAAGGAACTTTTATCACAAATTCTTCACTTCTGCGGTAGTATGGTCATTGCTGCCGTTATTCGATTACTTATATTCATCTTTTTTGTCTGTTGATTTTATGGTGAAAAGTCAAAAATGACAAATTTTCAACAACAACGATGTTGTTTTGTGTATCATAGGACTTGTTTGCATATATTAAGTTTATTTAAAGGATGGGTGAGATAACATAGACTATCTAATCTATCTAATAAAAATGACTTACTTAAAATTTAATATTTATAAAATAATTATTAATTTATCATATAGTAATTTGTATGAAAAGCATATCAACAAAAAAAAAATAGTTCCATTCTTCAATGTCTGGTACAATTGCTTTTAAAATAATTCTGTAGAATTTTTATATCTTTTGTCAAGAACAAGAAATATATAGGCTAAGCTTATATATAAATGGATAAGTACAAAAATTAAACTGCTGCTAAGTTTTACTTTAAAATAATGAAGTTAATTGTAAAATAACTTTGACTTAAAATACTTTCTAGTATGTTTTCTGCAAGAACCTTGTTTGTTGCATGCATTTTTCATTTAACTATTATTCATTTAATATAATAATAATGTATATACAACCCTGTAACATATGTAATATTATTATAGTTAATTGCAAAGACACTGTTAAACCTCGTACGCCACTTTATGAAGAAGTATAAAGGTTTTGTCTACAGTTGTGTAGACAATCTTGTTAGCTTAAATAGGTTATGGAATGATGGAATTTATGGGATTCCATATAAAATTGAAAAATCTCAAGATTCAGATTACCTCAACCTAGTATAAAATGGAAAATAAATATATTAAATTGATTGTTAATTTAATTTTAACTAAACTTTATTTTATTTACTACTTAAGTCTTATATCGCAAAAACAACAAAAAATGTTTAAAAGTTAGAAGGATTCGAATAGAAATGAAAAGGCAATAACAAAAATCTTTAAGTAATATATAGAAGTTTGGCTGACTGGAATACGCTGTTTTGAGTATTGCCAAATACTCATCATCAGTGGTGTTAGGATATATTCAAATTATTTATTCGAAAATATTATTTGTATCTTTTTCTTATTCATTATTAAGAAGTTATATATTTCATTTTTATTGAAAATTATTTTTCCAAATTTTTTTCTTTGATATACAAAATTTTAAAGCTAAAATAAATTTTTTCCATCGCAAAATCCTGGTAATTAAGCAAAGCGTAAGAAGTACTGATATAAATTCGTTGCTTTTTTAATTATTATTATAAATTATTTTTTTTGTCCATTTTCCTTTTAATTTTAAAGCCAAAAAAAAAAAACAATTTCATTGCCGATTCCCGTAGGACCACTAAGCTGCCAGTAATTAAACACAATTCGCAAGTTGTGGCAATTCTGAACACTTTCACCGCATTTGTCGCCTACTGCCAAGCCTACTCCAAAAATATTTCATCATTAACTTAATTCAATGTAGGTTAAATAGAATGCAAATTATGCAAAAATTCGTATTTCAAAACTTCCAAGACCATTAAATTTTTTGTTTACCAACCTACAGCCGCCCCTTTTTAATAATGTTGTATCTGTAATTTGATACGTGGGAAAAGGCTAAACGAAAAATTTTATTTTATATCAGATAATTGACATTTAATAATTATTTCCAATTTCAAGACAGGAACAATATTTTGAAAAATTGATAAATTTATATTTAAAAGGTCACACCGTTATCAATTAATTTTAAAATAAAATGAAATTAATTAAAAAATAATTGAATATACTATATAGGTATGGGTGGGGCACAATAGATCTTTCGGTTGCGGTGGAAATTTCCCCAGCATAATAATATATATGGCCCCGTTCTTTTTCAAACGGGGTGGCATCTGACCTAATCACATTCAATTTGGCAAAACATTTTTTATGAGTTCCCTTAATAAAATAAATAGATTTGTATATCGAAAAAAAATTTTTAAATTTTTTGTCCATGTTCTTTTGAGAATTTGCCTTTCGATTATATTTTAGGCTCTTTAAATGATAGACATATACAATTTTTTTACATTTAACATATAATTGCTTATATATTTTATAATTTCTGTTTATAACAAACAAAAAGTTCAAATTAAATACCAAAAAACGGTGAAAAATCGTCAAATGAGGTACATGGAAAATTATCTGATGGTCTCTCACTGCAACCAATTAACCAACCAAGCAATAAAACTATTAATCACTTATTTCTGATCTGGATTCATCGTTAAATTTTACTAGAAAATCGAAATTTTTAGCATGTCATTATTTCAGGCTTCTGCGAAATATATTAACATATATATAATATATAAGCATTCTATATATATAATATATTTAAAAAATATATTAAAAGAATATTTGTTTTTTAATATAAATTCAAAAGTGATCATATTTTCAAAACTACCGTAGAAAAAATCTTATGGATTATAAGAAACTGTATTTGGCCCTAAAAGCCTGCTTTAAAAAAGCTAACTTTATCATTCCGACTATCATTCCGCAATGGTTAATGACAGTCTATAATTAATAATTCTTAATTAATAATTATAATTCTATAATTAGCATTTTCTCTGAAGACTCGAAGCTATGTTTTGTTTTTACGAAGACTAAAACTTTTTTGGACTAGGAACTTTCCATATACCATATACCATATATATGTGGTATATATGTATTTAATATTAAAAACTGACCCATTTTCGTATTGCGAATTCTTCTTTCGTTTCTTGAACCAAAGTAAAATATTGTTTGAATAAAATTGGAAATTTTTTTATTATAATCTGGTAAATAATTTCATGGCATTTATTTTTGGAATATGATTTCCGGCATATGTCCGACGCGGTTACAAGTTACATGGTCCATTCGATCAATCCAATTTTTGACTATTTTTTTTAACGGTAATAAATGTGACCACATGGCGCCGGCGTCAATAGTGGCTTGAACATTGAACAGGGTTCCAATGCTTCGATACTTTCTGGGTTGCAAGTTGTTGGCATAAATCAAAGACTTAACATAGCCCAATGAAAAGTAATCGAGAGCCGTTAAATTGCACGATTGAGGAGATCAGCAAACTGGATCACTTTTGGAAATAAAATTTCGAAATATAATAAATCAATTGTTAAGCGCGCTATATTGTAAGTCTTTTTGGAACCATATGTCAAATATTGTCGATGTTTAACTGATTAATTTTTGGAAATTGTTGACAAAAACTCAGTCAGCATGGCTCAATAGCGCTCACCATTCACCGTAGCACCGTAACGGCAGCTCCTTCCTCATTTCGGAAGAAATAAGTACCGATAATGACGCCAGCGTATAAACCGCTCCAATTAGTCAATTTTAATGAATGTAATGATGATTCGTTAACGGCTTGAGGATTATCTTTGGTGCATGTACGACAATTTTGCTTATTATCGTAGTCATTTAACCAGTTAATGTTGAACGTAAAATGGACGAAATGTTCTATGAACTTCGCGAACAGATTTATTTTTTTCAAAGTAAGTTTCCACGACTTGGGAACGTTGTTCTAGCGTTTAACGATTCATAATGAATTGACAAACCATATTAAATATAATTATCAACACAGTTTGATATTTTATGCTATCAAATCATAGTTATTAATATCGACAGTTCAAAGGTAGCTAAAAAAAACACCCTATATTAACTATATGGGTTTGTATTATTTAATAGTGGTGTGGGTTAAACTATATAATATACTTTAACATTTCTTTAAATTTATTTTTGCATTTATTTAAAAGTGCTGTAATGAAGTTGGTCGTTGCTTCATTAATTCATTCATTTATTCATTCATTTATTGTACACTGAAGGCAACTTAACATTTGCCATTGTACGTTGCATTTCAAATTTACGTATATTTATATTAATTAAGTTATTTGAGTTGTCCTGAAAAACATTTCCCATAAGTAAAAGAGAAATTATAGCATTTGGCTGTTGAAATGAAGTGACCTTGCGTTTCATTTCTAAAAAATTATCTAAAAATATTAAGCGAATTCCCTTAAGGGACCTAACTATACTAATTATTAACATTAATTAATTAAATGTGGAATGTTCCACGGGTTCTCATGACTTTAAGAATTCTTCGCAAAATGTGCAATTAGCAAGAAAAATGTCACATTTAACCTAATTGCAAACAATTACAATGTAATCTATCAAAAGATACGCGCAGTACTCCTTACCATGTACGAGTAGGAATGAACGCATATACTTGTACAAATATTTATAATTGTTTACAAATATTAGTATGCTTTGTGCCGTGTGTTGAAAATAACCATTTCAGTCATCCTTCAAGTGTTTAGAGTTCATTTAGCATAAACAAGACCCTAATTATACCTAAACTAATGGCAGAGACATTCAGTTTTACGTCAATTCAAGTCCACCTTCCAATGTAGTTGTTATCTTAAATTGGTCATTTATAAAATTGTTTGGTACTGAGCTGACGGAACAGTACGTTCCTTTACTTGTTTTAATTAAATTAAATTGAAAATTTGCATCACTACCTTTTTATTTAGACTATAATTAAGACTGAAGTTATGTCATCGAATTAAAATAAAATTCAAGTTGAAATAAATCAGCAATATTAATGATAATTATCTGGTTGTGGAAGAACTTGAACTTTTTCTAGACACACGAGACGTATGTAAACCCCTTGACGAAAGCCCTTTGGTATTGCAAAACTAAACAAAGCAGTAAATCGAAAAAGATACGTCACAACAATGGGTTTCTTTCTACCAATTTGTAAGAACCATTAAAGAATATGCACAAGTAAATGGAAAAAAATATATCTTGATGAAATGTCAGAACTTGCCAAAAATCAAGTATCTTTCTACCACTTTGCGTGAAGAATGGAAAAATATACAAAAAGAAAATACTGGATTAATAAATACCCGGCCTAAGTAATAAAAACGCATTTTTTTGGGAAAATTATATTGTATGCTTCAATATAGTACCCTTTTAACTTGACACATCGAGTTCAACGATCTTTCAATATTCGGATACTTTTTAATAATACAGTTTATCAAGTCCTCGAAAATATACCTCAGTTTCCCATTCTACTTCATCATTCTATTTCATCATTTCCTTGGAGTCATCTTTTCAAGTGTGGAAACAGGTGATAGTAACTGGAGAATATGGTGATTGAGGAAGCAATTCGTACCGTGGTTCATTTCATTTTGCCATGGTTTTCGTTGACTTGTGAGCAGCTGCGTTAACCTGCAAAAATAAAAATTTTTTCTTCAACAAATATGGTCGTTTTTTCTTAATTTTCTCATTGAATCGATCCAATAATATGCAATACTAGTCGGTCAGTTATTGTGTTTCCTTTTTCCAAATAGTCTATGAAAATTATTCAACTTAAATCTCAAAATACGAAAGCCATTCTCGTCGACCCATTCTCTGACTTGTTATTTTCTCTCAGGTGTTAAGTGATGGAACCATGTTTCACCAATTATCACTACTCGACTCTACTCGTTCACAGTCAACTATATTGTGCATTAACATTTCGAAAGAATGTTTTGAATGCCAAAGTTGTCCTTTTGGGTCAATTGTGAGCAAACGCGGCACCCATACCCTTCTTGCCGAAAGTTTTGTTATATCTAAATATAATAATTATGTAAAATATTCGATACAAGTTCATATAATATGTTTGATATGTCTGCTATCTCACGCAATTTAATTTTTGGATCATCCAACAAAATATATATTTTCAGTTGTGACCACTTTTGGACGACCTGGACGTTTCAGTTGTGTCACTTATATTCAATGGATTTGTTATTTAACACTGACATATATAATCAATTATAGGTATTAGAGTAGAAGGTTGGTATTCTCTAAAAAAAATCAGAAGTTGTTAAACACTTTAGACTGTGTCTTTTAAATAAATTCGTTATTATTTGGACAACTTCATTTTGACTTGCCTTTCAGGCTGAAATTATTTATATTTTATAGCTAAATAACTAATGGTATTGAAGTTCATTTAAGTCATAGCTAGAATTATGCTTCATGTTCAAAACAGATTTCGTCGGAATTGGTTGTTTGTAGAGCTAGCTATTCGATACCACAAATAGACCTGATAAGTACAAACATACTGATACTAGCTTTTAAGTCATCTTGAGGCTTGTCCTGTGTACCACAGTTTAGGATTATAATAATTTCTATATTAGTGTTGGCATTTTCAGGGTATTACAAAAAAGCTATAATAGTAATGTTAATTTTTTCTCACCGAGAGTGACGCGTCTTAATGATAAAAAGAAACTATTTAACAGTTAGAAGGAGTCGAATAGCAAAAAAAAGATAAGAACAAAAATTTAGTTAGTTTATTGAAATTTGACTGACCATACAACGAAGTGGTCTTAGGAAATATTTGATTTTCTTTTTAATTACTTAATAATCCGTATATAATTGGTTGGATTGCAAGTGCCAGGCTTAGAACTCCTACCAGTCAAATTAGAAGAGATGATTAATCGTGTTTTTCCACAAGTAATAAAAGTTTTCTCATTGCAGAGAAATAATAACTTTTCTAAACTGCTCAGTAGTGCGTGGGTATCATAGAGAATGATTTCTGAATTTCCTTTTCCGTTATACAAAACTACAGGAATAAAATGATTTTTAATCTTGTTTGAACTTAAAAATCATTTATAAGAAGTAGAATATTATAAGTTGATAATAAAAATAATATTTTCTCAATGCTATTAATATAAAATATTTTCTTAAATTTAATTCTTGTTCTAGAACGAAATTATTGGAGATAAAATTATATTCATAGACAAAGACTCCGTTGAGACAAATTCCCATCAAACATATAAGATTTACAATGACACCAACGAAATTGTGCGCCCCGTTTGCAATGTCTATGAAACGGACCACACTGGAAAACGTCATTCAATAATCAGCTGTCGTAAGTAATTTTAAATCTATATCTTGTACTATGTTTAAGTATCCTACATAAATTAATCGAACCTTCTTACAAATTCAGAACTGGTATTTGCACGCAATGGGATATTGAGTGAGTCCCCATATTGTTTTGTTTTGGAAGCAAATGATAAGACAATTGATAGCAATACATCTACTAGCGTAAATAGAGTCATTTGTTATAAGTAATAAGTGAAACTAATTATGAATATACTTTATAGGCTCAAGCAAATATATGCTTGCATACGGATACAGAAAAAATTCACGAAACGGACCGTCCAAAAGCTTTAGCTTTACGTACCCGACAAAATCGCAAGACGACAAATATTATTAATTCTGATGAGTCAATATTATACTCTGATAGCAACAGTTATAGCAGAAATATATTACATACCATCTATTGTTCCTATCCAAAAGACGTATATGTGCAACGCACGGCAACTTCATACTATCGCGTAACACAACCGGATGAATTTATGGACTTATTACGATTAAAGCGACTGCGATTTGCTATTGCAGAGGACCGTAGTGGTGCTTTCGGCATAACACCGATTGGTGGTATTATTTATGTGAAAAATACAACTTCCCTGCAAACCGCTCAAGAGGAGGTCTATTTGTAAGTGCTTGCAAACTTAATATGTGACTTCGTAACTAACAAAATTTTATTAAATTTCTAAAGCTTGAACATTACTTGGCAGGACGCACATCAACGTTCTTTTGTTATTAACGTACACCTCTTACAGATTCAGTCAAAAGGTGCAGTTTGCGAACACAAGGTTAAGTCTCGCAGCCAAACCTGTGCCCAAATCAAATACCAAACTCAATGTGTCAAGTTTTGCGGTTTGGCAACAAATGGTGAGGGTTGCGTTTGGCGTGGCTCGAATGGTGGTTTTTTTGGACGTAACTTCGCTTCATGTGTACCGAATGTAACATTTTGTCCAGACAATATATGCGATCCATTAGAGACGATGAATACTTTTATATGTCCGCAGGATTGCACTCCAGGTAATAAAATTATGGGTCCACATTCAACAAATGAAAATAAGCTCGGTATACTCTCCGCATCGGGGACTTGTATATGCGAGGATAATGGAAAATGTTCATGCGCTCCACTTGATGATGAGCCTAAACTGAAACGTAAGCGGAAAAATGAAACAAAAACAGAGCTTCTGGAGAAACTTAAAAGCGATAAATCGACCAGTAATTATGAGAACGCCGATGAGCAAAATATCAATTTAGGTGGTTTTGTCTGTGGCAAATCCTGCTTAATTATTTCAATTACATGTCCATTAGTTTTTATAGTTCTTATAATATGTTTAATTATATCGCGACGTAATTTACTGCGAAAAACTTTGGGCAAAGAAACGCTTGCTACACAAAAGGGAACTGCAGGCTTGGGTGGTGATTGTGATGTTCGCAATGGTGATCTACCATTGATGGAGTTGGAGAACGGCTTTACTTTTGAGTCTAACGATACTATTTGGGAATTTGATCGTGAAAAACTTGTGTTAGACACTGTGTTGGGAGAGGGTGAATTCGGTAAAGTGGTTAAAGCATACGCTACAGATATTGCTGGCATAATCGGCATTACCACTGTTGCTGTAAAAATGTTGAAAACTGGTGCTAATTCTGTAGAGTATATGGCACTACTATCTGAGTTCCAACTGCTACAAGAAGTTTCACATCCAAATGTTATAAAACTGCTAGGTGCTTGCACTAAGGGAGAATCTCCAATGATTATAATTGAATATGCCCGTTATGGCTCTTTGCGTGGGTATTTACGCTTAAGTCGCAAAATTGAATCTGCAGGTGTGGACTTTACAGATGGTGTTGAACCCGTAACAGTTAAGAATATATTATCATTTGCTTGGCAAATATGCAAAGGAATGGCTTATTTAACGGAAATAAAGGTGAAAAGTTTTTTATATTTTAATATATATATGTATGTACAATATATAGTTTAATGTATATATGTGTCCTCTACGAATGTAATACAATTTTGTAATAAATCAGGCAAATTTTTAAAAACAAAACATGTGAATGCAAAAGAAACTTGTCTATTTGCAAAGCTTATTATGTCAGTATCCATTATTGGCTGAAGGAAAATTTAAAATTTTCGAGCCCATTTTTCTTACCGACCTGATAGAGCTGTCATGCTGCAAATCTTTGGGGCTTTGGTTAAATTGATAGAATTGTACGGTTGGTTCACTTTCACTTGAAATTGGTAGTCGTGTCTTTCTACGTTACCCTACGCTGACCTCTACTCTGAGTATGGTGTCACAACGGTCCATTATTTCAACTCTAGCGGATTTTGGGTAGAAGTTGCGGGCTTCAATTTCAACTTAACCTAATTTATTGTCAATATTAAAAAAGTTAAAAATAAAAGTTAGTAATCATCAGTAATTAATTTTGAACCAAATATCTTATTATGAATTTTTTATTCATTTACTAGTATATTTTTAATTATATTTATAAATTCTTATACTGATACAAGATTTTTTTTTGTCCAAGATATAAAAATTCTTATTTCAATAACACGAAATCTATTTTTAACAGCAAAAAGTAATAGATAATTTTTAAATTATAATTATAATTTTTAATCAGGTGAATTTCTTGGACTTATATAGTTGTTCGAATATTGTCATATCGCTATAACCCATGGATTTTTTAAATATATATCGGTTTTTAATGTCTGTATATAATTTACGCATTTTAAGTGATACACTCCTGTTAAATCCTGCTAAAATTGAAACGTATACGCACATGCTACACCACTTAGCCAACGTTGCACTTGATTTTAAATTTGACTTGATTTCCAGTCACATTCTCTGTGACTGCCCACCTTTGATCTGGGCCAGGAGGAGGTCACTGGGTCGAGAACTACTCTCCCATTCTGACATTTGGAGGTCCTTAACGGCTGACATTCTGGTTTTTATTCGGAAGGCAGAAGTGTTCTGTTTGGTTAGGGTCTCTTGCAGCACAAAATATAAAATATGGTCGCTCCGCTTCGTTGGCAGGTGGTACTCTGTTTATTTCTATTCTATTATTTCTATTCTAAGTTCAAATATAGTTGCAGTCTAGACATTATACTCGTATACGGACATTTAAAAACAATAAACATTTCTAAAGTCTACTTATAATGGATAGTTGACAATATCCAAAATAGTATGACATTTTCAATTGATTAAGAATTAATGCATATACTGAAATAATTTATAAAAATGTACTATAAAATATATAAAATGTACTATATGTATTAAAAAGTTTTTTATAATTGCAGTTGGTGCATCGTGATTTAGCGGCTCGCAATATACTTTTGGCTGATGGAAAAATTTGTAAGATTTCCGATTTCGGTTTAACACGTGATGTATATGAAGATGACGCTTATCTTAAGCGTTCCCGAGACCGAGTGCCAGTAAAAGTAAGTTTCAAAAATGTCAATAGTTATAATGGAAAGAGATTTTTTAGCTCAACTTCTTCAGTTGCTGTTTATAACTCATTTCTGTACGCTTTTAAAGTAATTTTTATATAATGTATATATTATAATATATATTTGTCTATTTATTTTGTACTTCCAATCAAAAATTTGATTTATTCTAAATTATGTGGTTTCATGAATTTTTCATAAGATTTCACTTTCATATACGACAGGTTGGGAAATGTGACTATTTATTGTCCAGACTTCACATCCATAATTAAGATTGAGTTAAACGAAAATATGATACATGAGTTTTCTTTTCCATGCGTAATATTATTTACGATTTCGTAAATTTAAAATATACACATAAGTTGTATTTAATTATATGTTCTTGAATTGCTATACATTCTCTTTAGCTCTATTAATAATGAAGAATTCAAGTCGAATTCATATGCAGTCTGAACTTTTTTCTTTACTGGACCGAATTTAATCTAAATCTAAAATCTTTCAATATAATATGCTCTGCAGATCTACATACAACATAGTTTAATACCAGGTTAAGGACATCTTCTTCTATGATCCCGTAGGTAACTTGAAGATGTCGATCAGTTGCTTTCTTTAAGAGCTTTAATTTTTATATTTTTTATGTAATTCCAAATAGCGTTGTTATTTTCATTATAATAACATTTTTATTTTTGAGAATAATCTCAATATTATCTTATCAAAGACGTCCAGGTAATCGTTTCATGATTAATATTATTTTAACTGTTTAATATGTTGTCTGTCTCATGGCAACTAGTATTTATTTTTCTTACACGTGATCATCCCTAGTTGATAAGCTTTAAGTCTTGATTTTCAATTTTCTAATACATTTGTTTGCCATTATTTTAGGTAATCCCTCTTTCCTACTCCACATTAGTATCTTAACCTTACTTTTCTCTACGGCCTTTGACAGTTTCTTTGATTTTTCCTTGGCATATTTATAATAAATTCTATCTTGCTTAATTTTTTTGTCGTACCGAATATTGTGTCTGCAGCTCTTCGATTATTGATTTTAGTAAGCTCACTATATAAGAGTCATTAATTATTTTACACAATATATGTTACTGAATTTTAAACATGTATTAAGAGTTTTTGTTGGACCTACAATCGTACTGTCAGTTTGCTAAAGCTACATATATCAAGAAAGCATTTGTGTATATAAAATTTATAATTGTATACTTTAAAAAATACAAAAGTTAGTATATATATACATTATATAAACCTTTTCGAAGATTAGGACAAATCATAAATTTAATCCGTAACTAGTTTATAATCATATTCACTCATACTAACAACTACTTTATTTTGTACCATTATCAGTGGATGGCACCTGAATCATTAGCCGATCATGTCTACACCACCAAATCGGATGTCTGGGCTTTCGGAGTATCTTGTTGGGAATTAATAACATTGGGTGCTTCACCTTATCCAGGTATACCGCCACAAAACTTATACCATTTACTCAAGTCGGGTTACCGTATGGAAAAACCAGAAAATTGCTCTGAAGAAGTGTAAGTATAACATTTAAAATTTAATATATATATACTATAATCAAAATTAACCATTTTTTAGATATACTATTGTGCGTACTTGTTGGACTGATGATCCGAACTCACGTCCTTCATTCAAATACTTAGCATCTCAATTTGAGAAATTGCTTGGCAACAATGCTAAATATATAGAACTAGAAACAAATGCAGTTTCTAATCCACTGTATTGTAGCGATGAAACAAAACTTTCCAATATGGCTGAAACAGACCTAACAAAACTCACAAATAATTTAGGTGAACCTGATTGTCTAGATCACTTATGGTGTTCACCAAAAATAAGTTACGATTTACCTGACGGCTCAAATAGTCGGGAGTTTTCGACTAATTTAAGCGCAGAGTTTCAACCACCACCTGGTTACGATATGCCACGTCCACTAATAGAAACTGCAACAACAGAGCAGGTCTTACGTTATGAGAACGACTTGCGATTTCCATTGAATATACGAAAATCTGTCTGCGCAAACAGCATTGGATCTAATTCCCAAAACTACGACAGCAAATGTGGTACTGAACATTATTCGGTTCCAGTTAAACGTGGACGTTCCTATATGGATATGACAAACAAAACTTTAATACCAGACAATTTAAATAGTGATGATTTCGAAAAGCATATAGCCAAAACAATCTCATTCCGATTCTCTAGTCTACTAAATCTTAAGGAGCAGGAAGATGTTATTTAAGTACAGAATAACCTTCAATAGACATTTTTAAGAACTGTTTCAGTTAATTGTTGATTAGTTTTAGTTTTTATTGTAAATGAAAAGATTGGTTCGTTTATACTAAACTTTCTAAGCATATACATGCTTAATTTATTTAAGTCTGCAAGAGATGCCAAAGATACTTTTTAACATACAAATTATTTCTTGCGATATACAATATAAGAACGAATTTAAAATTATTATTTTTAAATTCAAAAATATTTTAGTTAATAATTACATTTTTATTAAAATATTCAACCTCCAACATTTGTTAAAGTTTATAATTCTAAGGTTGTCCGATAAAAGAGACACATAAGATATAACTCTACCTACTCAACTTCCTACCTTCTGAACGTATACAACAAGGCAGCATAAATGAAATAATATATATTTATTTAAAAAAATATTTTTTTAATATTAGTTTATAAGTCTAAAGTAATTACATACTTAATATATATAAACTTCATTTATAATAACTCGACTCGAAATTTGTTCAGCTTACAATCCGGAACGTGACCGAATAATCCAATATAAAAACTATTCTGGTCAGGTTGGCTATATACATTTAAGGAAATGGGGAATGGTCATGCTTTTAGCAAAGAATTTCAGTCATTTTTCTGCAGAACTGCATTGAGTACTGAAGACTACCGTATAATGAAAAACTATTAAATATTTTAATGTGAACTGGACATATTTACGGCCATTCTGAATAAATTTCCAGTCTATGAAATTCCGTGCCAAACATAAAATTAAATATTCACTGTTTATTTTCGTCCAGTTTCATTGAAGCTTAAATAAAGCATATAATGCTTTAATAATTTAATATATAAATCAATAGGTTTTGACTTATTAAGCGACAATGGACACCTATAACATTCATTCCCACTTTTTCAAAGATTTAAGTTACTTACGAGTATAAACCGCTGTCAGTGGGTCTCATTCGTTAAAGAGTTTTATCGTCAAGTATATTTTAAATAAAATATATACCTTATATCTAATTTTATTATCATTATTTTTTAGTATGTTTATAAGAACTTAATTATATTTGATAAGTGAAAGACATTATAGAATGCATTCCATGTGAACTCCTGTGTAAAATAGTATGAAGTGCAGAGTTTTTTATTTATTTTATATATAAAAACTTATATTATAATTTCTTTTTTTTTGATTATTTTAGACATAAAATAAATTATTTATTAATCGGTGAAACCGATTGTGTGCACCATTATTAAATCACTACATATAATTATATATTTAATAATAAACTTATATGGAAATGTGTACATTTTTGCCAAATATTACTACTATGTATGATGATATTTTTTTTTAAAACTGTATTGAACATTTGTAGATTTTCCTAGAAATAGGTATAATAAACTAAATAAAAATATTAGCTTCAAATTTAACACAATCCTTATTTACTTACTTACTTTAGCATAAATATATCTTCGCTACTTTATCGCAGTATGTTAAAGAGTCAACATCTATGTAAATCCATGGCTCCAATCGGAGCCGTGATTTATACCACATTCTGCATTTTACAATCATGGTAAAGTATTCAACGCTACGTCCTCACTAAATGTAAAGGTCTAAACAATATCTTTAAGCAAGTTTTGTTTAGGTTACCTTAAACTAGCCTGACTTGCTTTCTTAAATTAAAAATGTGAAAAAATTAAATTACAGCTCTACCATATAATATAAGTTATTAAATCAGAAAGGGTGTATTTATCAATGATTAATTCATTTTTAATTATTTTATTACATTTCAAGCAACCTTTTTTGTTTTGATATAAATTTGACTATAATATTTTGTACCCAGTAATGGCCACTTTTATAGTTACTAGAAATTATTTGACACAATTTCCAAAATAAAATATTAATCGGTATCAATTAATCAGTTGAGTTTCTTCAACTTTTCCTTATTATTAGACAATAATACAATAAAACTTTATACATTTTAAAAAAAACATGAAAATAATGACAAAGCAGACCTTTTGGACAGCTTTGGTACTTCCATCGATTTATTCCTATGGGTAATGATTTATGATCACGCTCTACAAATCCCTTATCATGCCTGTCCTGCTGTATGGTGCAGAAGCTTGGACAATTACCAACAGTGATGAGAAGGCGTTAGGAGCATTCGAGAGAAAAATTCTTCGGTCCCTTACGCGTTGGCGACGAGTATCGAATTAGATGGAACGATGAGCTGTATGAGCTATACCGCGACATTGACATAGTTAAGCGCATAAAAATTCAGCGGCTACGCTGGCTTGGTCATGTCGTGCGAATGGAAGAAAGTGCTCCGGCTAGAAAGGTATTTGATTCGGTACCCGCAGGTGGAAAACGCGGTAGAGGACGTCCGCATCTTCGGTGGAAGGACCAGGTGACCAACGATTTGGGGGCGCTCGGTACTACCAACTGGCGTCAGAAAGCAACTAATCGGGCTGACTGGCGGAGGCTACTCGACGCGGCCAAGGACGACACACGTCTGTAATGGCCAACTAAGAAGAAGAATGATTTATGATTCTATGAAGATCGTTAAAATAGGTATTTCACTCTACTTTCTTTAATTTGCTAATAATAAGTGGAAGGTACTTAGGTCATGTATAACTTCTCGGTTAACATGGCTCTCTTACAATGGGATTAGATCTTCGGAACTCAACAAAAGGGACTGCATAAATACTGCAAGGTTTAGTTCTGTTCTCTCTTGTCACTAGGGTGTAGAAATCTACACAGAGACAGTGTGCATTACTTGTAATACTCATTTCAGTAGTTGTGGAATTTTGCTGGAAAAAGAAAATATTAAACATTTTTTCTATGAATAATCGGTTCGAGCGTTCAGAAGAAATAGGTTATCGGGAGTATTTTTTAACTGCCTGTCAGACTATTCATCAGTAAGGACGAAGGATTTATTAAATTATCTTAATACGACAGAATGAGTTTGGTCCAACAGTAACGATATTAAATTAAAATTAATTAAATACTTAGATATTCTTTATTATTAAATATTTGCTATTTAAGTTTAATCTCAAATAATACAAATAAAAAAATTGTTAGATTTTTGTCAAGAAAACCAAAAAGCGACAGTGATTAACAAAATGATACAAGAGGAAATTTAAAAAAAAAATCCCTACCTACTCATCCGGGACCAACAAATTTAAATTGGTTCTTCCAGCTAAACTGCCAATGAAGCACTCCTCATCCCCACGTATTGATAAACCTTCGGAGCCATCGCATATTTTACGTTCTCGTATCATAGCAGTACGTAGCCAATGCGAACCTTTGCAATTGCTACAACTGGTTTTTGGTAATTTAAATACTGTTGTGGTGCGGTTACCACAATCCTTGCATTGAAAGAAACGCTTTTCAGCATCGACAATTTTAAGTGGATGTTTTTCTTCTTTGCACCGTTCGGCAGCGGAAAACGCAGTATACTTACACTTTTGACAAATGACCGCCTTACAAGGCATTTTGAATGTATTAAGCATTTTTTCTTCTAACGCTTCTTTCTTTTCCAATTTATTGAAATATTTTTCTTGTTCCTGTTGTTGACGATTCTCAATAAGATTTGTATGTGAGGAAGTGGCATCCATAATTCGTTGTATACGTGATTTGCGATCTTGGTTTCGTTGTTCTTCCTCTAGTTTTTGTCGCTTGGCAACGTTACAGAATTTATCATTCAGTTCATCAATAGCACGCCTTTTACCTTCTGTCGAGCCACGTGTCGAGTTTGGATTCGATTTTTGTATGGGACATTTCTTTAGTAATGATATTGCTTTCTGTTTTCTTAGTTCTGATTGTCTGTTGCTTATGTTCACTTCAATATCACCAAAGTTTTCACGTGATAATTGCAGGCTATTCGAAGTAAATGAGAATTCACTATTTTTGAACTTATCAGGCACCAACTTGGATAAACTGCTAAACGCAACCGAACTAGCTGTAGAGTTTTGCGAGGATATTGAAGAAGTGTTTGAATCTTTTGTTTCGATCGAAGAAGCCTTTTTGAATGATGTAGAAGGCGAACTACTATTATTGCCGTTTTCTGTTTCCACCTTTGTGGACATTGATTTCGACGATGATAAATTGTTTATGCTGCATTTTGTTGACGATGAATAGGTTTCTGGTTTTGCTTTTTCAATAGTGCTTTTTTCAGGTTCTTCAACTAATACATTTGTGCGGTTTGTTAGTGCTGTAGCTGCTTCCGCCTGTAATATTTTCAATCGTTCCAAATCTTTTAGACGCTGTTTAGAAGTAGCTTCGATGTTACCAGCCATTTTTGAAACAGGACCAACTTTATTTGCATAAGGGACATTAGTATTTTTAGGTTTTGGAGTGTGATTAATAGAACTTGCTAAGGGCGAGACTGCATACTCTGATAAACTGCTCATTCTCTTCATATCCTTAGATATAAGTTTAGCACTTCTTTTAGCTGGCACGGCGAAATATGACTGTCCACCATAAAATACTTCACTTTTTCCTGAAAATATATAGACATTATATCGTTTATGTTACATTATGTTAAGTCTGTAATTAACTTACCCAAAACCTTATTCCGCAGTTCATTTAAACCTCTACCGGCATTAGGAGATTGCAACTCAGAACGACGTGACATTTTGTTAAATTCTTGTTTCATATGGAATATGCAGTAATCGTTTTCACTTAAATTAACCACTGAAGTACATTGTTCATTGTTACGTTTTCTGGCTTTACAAGTACCTAAATCTTTTGATTGGCCTAGTATCATTACTTTTTGTGATGAATCGATAGATAGACATGCTACATCATTATTTTCGGTTCGCTTCTCAAATATAGTTGGATTAAGAACGGCAATACACATACCTTGTGCTGTCTTCCATAAGTCCTTGTGAGCACCTTTAAATAGGAATAAAGATACCATTTTTATTTCCCCACGTAGATCAGAGATACGCCAAATTGAATATAGACTTCCATTTTTTGAGGTACGTATTGGACTTTTATTAACCAGCACTCCTGCAATTACCCAATCCTTCGATAAATCACCTCGCTGTGTGTGAAATGCAATGTTTGAAAAATTCACTGCTTTACGGTCGGACATACGTTCTACTAATAATGCACTCGAAACCAAAGGATTAATCATACGCAAACCAAAAACAGGATCCGTGAAAACTGGGTTTTGTGGTGCAAAATCTGATTTCACTTCTTTGGTTTTAGCCTGCGGTAATGGTGTTTTTGTGAATGAAGTACTTAAATGTGCCTGTCTTTTTATAGGATTATGTATATTTTTTAAATGAATATCTAAGAGTACATTATCTTGGGTATTGGATTTTATTGCGTTATTGACTTCATGAGCAACTTTTGATTCATGCACCGCCGCTTTTTTTTGTTTCAGTTTTTTATTTATATCGGAGCCGTATTCATTATATTTTCGCTCTAAAAAATTTTTGACCTCTTCATCATCAGATGAGTCAACATCATCAATATTACTTTTGCTAATAACAGCGGCTTTGCGTATTGTAGAATCCGGCAAATCAATTTCATAACTGAAGGCTTCAGCAAAGGTATGATCTTCAATCAAACAAGGAACATTTTTATTTGGTTTAGTTACAACGGGTTTGTCATTTTCATTGCCACTTATATCTTCGTCGGGATTCGAAAGTAAATTTTCTAACAATAATAATTCCGCATCGTCGTCAACAGATGCCTGCGAATCATTTAGAGACATTATGATTAATGTAAGCAGCTTCAACGCCTCGATATAATAGGTGAATTTCTTAAATGTGCATGAACAGTGTGTTCATATTTCGGTAGGTATCTTCGAACTCATTACAGCAAATAAGTTAAAACAATGTTCATAAATATTACCACTTGAACTGAAATCGGTACCACCAATTATTTTGCCGCCAATACTATTGCAGTGACAGTTTGAAATGACAAAACACAATTAACAAATAAAGGTGCAATCACAATGTATTCGCTAAAGTGATGAAAGCAAAAAACTTTTTAAATATATAATTTTGAGCAATCTACAACATTTTTATAATATTGTGATAACTTTACGACTCACATTATGTTACTGTAAAATTTTCACTGAAGCGAAATCACGTGTTTTAACTAAAACAATTTCATGTAAAAAGTAAGAAAAACAAAAAACGCAACAAAAAATAATTAATTTGTTTTATTTTTATAGAGTTATTAAAAAAATTTTACGCACAGTATTATATTTCCTATAAAAAACTTTTAAATTTTAATTGTTATTAATTTATTTTTAAAATAAAACTACTAATTCTAGTTGCTGTTAATCTTTTTAAGAAAGAATTTTTTTATTGCATAAACAAAAGCTCTGCAAGGCTGGCAACATTGCACAGAAAGGACTGTCAAAAATAATAATGACATTTTAGCCATTGCTTGCGTATTGCAGCAAAAAATATTTGGAATAGTTGTTAAAATTAATTTGGACAGTGATGGACGTGGTTGTTTAATTTTCGATTATGTGAATGAATAGAAGATTTTAGTACTTCTAAATGTTTTTCACCATATTTAAGTCTACTTGGGTGCATCATGATGTCTCTAAATGATGCGAAGACATCTGTTGACGATGTCAAAAAATTTGCTTTCAAGTCCATTGTAACAAATTGAAACAAATATGTTCCTTACTTAATTGAAGATAATATCGTCTTTCAGTGGTAAAAGCATCAGGTAAGTAGTTTATAAATTAACAATAGTAATGCATTAATTAAGTGAAAACTTAATTAAATTTACGTTATTTTCTTTGTATACAGATATTGCTAATAAATTTCATTTAACATATATGCATATGTAAAATAACGCCCATGCGGCAATGGTTTTCAAAATTACATTTTCCAATTCAGTACTTCTACACAACTATTCATATTTTTAATATATTTTATTACTTATTTGTCAAGATAAGTATTGAAACAATTGGCGCATATAAGCATATATCGACAAGAAAATAATCACAGTTTTGTTAGTATATTTGTTAGTATGCTTAGATGTTTTCCGACATACAGTTCTAACGTGTGGTCATAATCTTGAAAAATGGAAGCGGTGTTTTCCATTGCAACATCTTGGTTTCACAATTTGAACATTTAAACTAAGTCACTACATGTAACACCGTTATAAGTTCTTTTTTTTGGCGACTAATCGGTTGCTCATCTTAAAAAGCTTTTAAAAAATAACACGCAAATTTTATACATTCTTACTCTGTGTGCAGTTTGGTAATATGAAAATTACATATGTCACATATTTTATTTAATGTAATTATGTATTTTTTTGTTTTTATTTAAATTTTATTAATTTTTTTTTTTTATAACTTAGGCTTTCAGCTTAAATCAGCTCAATATGCTCTTCAACAAAATGTGCGTTATGTGTTGTTCTAGTCGGGCAGCAAATCCGGTACCTAAAACTGGCCCTTTTGTATTTTCATTGCAATGAAAATTCCATTCCATGCTTACGAATGGATGAGACAGATTTTATTTGTCTGGGCATTTTTGGAACAGTACTTCGTGCTTCGATTGTAATGGCAATTAAAATTAAAATAAAATATTTGCATATAAATTACAACTAATTGAAGATTGGTTCGCAATCGATTGCAAAAGTAAGTAAAAAAAAGCTTAAAGCATTTCTCTAAATAGTTACGAAGGAAAAGAAGGCGATAAATGCATCAAGCTTAGTTTATTGCTGATACAATCCTTCAATAACAATTTTTCCGTATCTACCATGAACAAGCTAATATAATAAAGCTTTTATATTGGACTACATGTGGTTGTACATTTAATATTACATGATTAAAATTATATTATTAACAATTTATAAGTTGATATACGGTATTTATTTATTTATAATTAATTTTAATATTAGATTAAAAGAGAAAACAAATTTCGTTTCAAATTATTTGTTACAAATAAAAAATATTCGACTATATACTCAAGAATCGTTTTAAATAACATATTTTTTTGGATAGAAATGACAATAACATAATTTATTTTTAATTAATTAAATTTTTTAACTAATCAAACAAGCTGTTTGACGTTTTGCTGATTCCCAATTATTATTGGTAGTCTATGAAAACATTTTTTTGATTTTATTATAAAAATATTCTATTCCTTTCAGTTACATTTGCAATAATCAATTCGAAGCACTGCTACCTCACTCCAGGATATCATGTCTAAGCTGTTGGTTAATACATATTAAAAAAAAAGTAAATATGTATAAGCTCCTACTGTCTTTCGGGTACTCACACATTATGACGCACTGAACACTGAACTTATTTGAGTAGATATAATTTTGTACACCTCAATTTTAAAACAGGAAATAATACTTAATAATATATTTTTTTTAAATACATATATGGATATTTGAAAACGATTGTTAAAATAAAGTTTATTTAAAACATGTATATATTTTAATTATAAATTTTATAAAAATGATTAAATATGCGATTTTTTGTGTATGATTTTCGATTAAGTGAATGTTTTAGAATTAGTGTGTAAATCTAATTATATCTTTTGGTGTAACGCGCGAGTTACGTATAATTAGTTATACATGACCTCCTTCCTCTCATCTTTATTGACAATAATACATAAGTTTAGCTTTTGTTATTTTTGATATAAATTTCAATAGGAACAACTAACTCATAACTGAGTATTGTTTGTGCATAGAGAGTGACTGTACTTTGTTTTTGGAAATTATATGATTCAAAATGTATACACAGCTTGAATATAAACTGTTGAAATATCTTATAATTTTATTTTGTTTTGAAATACATATTCTACCTTAATTACTTACATCCGAGTATCAAATTCATTTCAATTTCAGTGATTTGAAATGCTCACAGTCTACCTATAATAGGTTTTCTCACCATCTGGTAATCTGAATCATCTATAATCTACACGAATCAAGTTTTCGAAGATCTGAAACTCTTACGGCCTATCTTTAATTGATTTTCTTTTTGTCTGATAATTTGAAGCAAACAAATTAGTATGAATTATTTAGATTATATAGCAGCATTGAAAATTAGTTAACTAATTGGGATTATTACTTAAACTGCTTATTTTGTTTATGTGCAAAATTTCATTCCAATTTGAATACTGGTTTCCTTTTTTAAAGTGCAGCATAGTTTGTAGGTTGCAATGGCTTAACGGCAGATAACTTTGCGCCTCACATAATTTGCAATTATTCGTCGTTTAACACTAAATCCCTTGTAAGAAACTCCCTAGATCCATATAGTTGAGTTTATGTATTTAATAGATTCTTTGTTCTTACTGATAAGCAATCGAACAGATTATTAAAGCTAGGCAGTTACAGAGAAAATGTATGACTGGCCATCCAAGTTATCGCAACATCTAAAATAAGTGTCGATCGGAAGGCTGGTGTTATTGTATGGAGGTCAGGTTTTACATCGCATTCAAAGCATAAGCACCTCTAACACGATGTGATTTAGTTTGAGAAAACCAAGAATATTGTATGAAGCAGATCCTTTTCGAATATGATATGATTCTAATTGAAAAATCCAAAGATTTGTATTTCTTGTCTCAGAAGGCATACTTTACTTATATTTTTGGCATATCATAAATTTTATCAATTCAAAATTATTAAACGAACTGCACAGAGCTTTTCTTCCCGATCGTTTATAACAAAAAGTGATCGGGTGTGTGTTGTAGAGTCCTAGAAGTTTATAGTGACATTGATGCCAGAAGAATCACATTGGCATCGATGCTTTATTCATGCTTTAAGCAGCTTTGAGGAATAAATGTGCGAAATTTATTAATATTTTTAAATATTGAGTGTGTGTGTTTTTTTATATATAAATCCTTTCTACTTGTATTTTATATAATATATAATATTAATTTAAATATCATTTTAAAATATATATAATAATAATATATATTTGAATTTTTTGACTCTTTGTTGATATTTTTGGATGCTTTGTGGCAGGAATAATGATTCCACTACAAAATTATATTAATTTCATCACACAGTTATATTGATTCCCCACACCTTCTTTTACAACCAAAGACCACCACTGCACTGATGCTTTCAAGTATTTCTTGGTATCAATAAAGCATTGATGATATTCCTACGACATTCAAAGGTATGGTTACTTGGTATGATAGTGGCATCGATGGTCAATTCCAAAGTATCGGTGCATTATCGCCGATTCTTTTGCCTGCTGGGGTGTCACACAAATTTGAGTTATTAAACAAAAATATATACATGTATACAAGATTTTTAAAATTTTTTTAAACATTTCAGAATCTAAATATATTTTCTACATTTATTGCGAAATCTACAATCGGAAAAACATTCTGAATATCGAGATATATAATGAATAAAGCGGGATTTTTTCTGATATGCGGGACACAGAAACTGAACTTTAAAATGTAAACTATCGTGTCTATATCGGGACAGTTTTTTTTTTAAGAAGCACTTATTCCCTTTAAAGGTTGGCTATTATGATCACGATTATGATCAGATTTTTAATCAACGATAGCCTCCGTCTATAAGGACCATGTCTTCCATCAATTCTATCTTCAACGATCAACTTAAGAAGACCGTATTCTTCTCGGTTCCTTAAGATATGACTTAAACCGTTTTCGCCATTTTCTTGTCTCTTTATTTTGTTTTGTGAATGAGAGCAGATATCGACACACTGTATTTTGAAATCGAGTTTCCAGTGTAAAATATATGAAGAATTCAAAGCATCTATTCGATATTCAGATGAACCTTTTAAAAATGCTGATTCTCACTCACAGAATAAGACTTTATCACTTGTACTAATTATTTATTTGATATGAGATCATTTATTCTATTTTCATGTTTCGTTTTAATTAACAGAGGATAAAAGTCTTTAATTATACCTAATACCGCTCAAATAATAACCTTATACAAGTAATTGATTTGTATTTTGTAAAAAAAATAAATATTTTACTTCCAATAGGTTATTATAGGTGTAAACACTTCTAAGTAAAGGATTACTGTGATATTTATTCGAAGAATAAATTGAAATTATATTTCATATAATTTATAATTTTATTTATATAAAAATTTCTTATTATATGATATTATATATCTTATTTATATGAAAGTTTCTTATTAAATAAAAACTAAATGAATATATATATGGTTTGCAATATGTGTTGAATCAATTATACCGATAAAGAGTATAGCGCCCATTATACCGTTAAATATCGGCGAATTGAATACAAAAAATGTGCAAATTTTTTGCGGAGTTAAATTATTTTAACTGAAAAGTTTAAGCGTTCATTACACTCATTTTGGCGTTATTAAACTATTGATATTTGAGTTCAATTATAATTGATTGAAATATTTGTGGTCGCTATGGACATGGGTGATTGTAGCTTGAAGCCGTTAAAGCGCATAAGTTCCGGTGGATTTGGCACAACCTATCAGTGCTTGACCCAAGATAATAAATATGTTTGTGTCAAACGACTGCAAATGGGAAATTCCAAAAACTTGAGGATCATCCAAGAAGAAGTAAGAGTTTTATATTAGATATTAGCATGTGAAAATATACTTATTAGCCTTCATATTTGCAGTTACATATATTCAAACAACTGAAACATCCAAACATTGTGCAATTTCATCGCTTCTACATATACGCCGATACCGTTAATATCGTAATGGAATACTTACCGAACGGTACTCTACGCAGTCAATTACATCAGCGTCTTTCTCAGAAATGTTTGAAAAGTTATTTTTTAGACATTCTGATGGGCTTGGAATATTTACATATACGTCATGTTATACATCGTGATCTGAAACCTGAAAATTTACTGCTGGACAGCCAAAACCGTATTAAGATAGCCGATTTTGGAATATCTGTTATAAAATCAACCCACTTAGAGAACAGCTGTGGGGGTGGTACCTTGAGTTATATGGCACCCGAAGTGATCAATGGAGGAAAATGTGATTTTAAAAGTGATATATGGGCTCTTGGTTGTATTCTATATGAAATGTGTACGGGTTACACACCATTTAGAGAGGCTCTAGATTTTGAGGACATGAAATATTTGACATATAAAAAAACTACACCACAACTGAATTGCGATGGAATTGCTTTTCGTTACGGCAGTGTTTGGTCGCAATTATGTGCAAAAATGATCAAATATGATCCCTTAAAACGGCCAGCCCTGCCCGAAATAATAACATATCACAATATTATCACAATTCCATTTTACTTTAAATATTTTGAATATGACTATTACAAATAACTATAGCGCGTACTTTATTGTGTTTTAAGGAATAATTTTGTTAATTTTTTTATATTTTAATCATTTAGCACCAATTGACTTTTATGTTTTAAATCGACCATTATTTATAACGATATTTTATGTTTTTTTTTAATATGTTTTGTAAACCGTCTAATGCTATGTTGAAATGTTGTCTTAAAATAAAAATTTTATTAAATTATAGAAAAAAAGTGATTAGCTCATAACTGTAATGTTTTTTTAATTTTTTTTAATAAATATAACTACTAGAACAAACCATTATGTTGTTGTTGTTGCGATAGCCATGAAGATCTATTAGTCATGTTGATTACAAGCACGGCCGGGTGTACGTCCCGGAGCCACTCTTTGAATTCAACGAACAAATGCTGTTCAGTACTCTCAACAGGAACTACACAGATAGATCTTGGCAGGTCACAGCTACAACAACATATGGCAGACCACATTAAAGTATATGCTTGGGTGAAGTAAGTGTGAAAGATAAGACATTTTCATAGAACGGAGCCTAACTTTAATTGGAAACAAATTGGTGTATGCATTAGGATATGAAAACAGATGGACAACAGACCACTATAGTGCTCATAGGCGTAGTCAAGGAAGCATATATTGCGTTGAACCTCTTTAAAATTATGCTCAAAGTGTTTTATTGCATAATAAAAACCGAGACTATAGGGTAATGGACAAATATCCCGCTTCTACCGTTTGTCTAAGTATATGTCTTATGCAGCATCTGACCTTTTTTTCAGTTGATGATAACGTAGGTGTTAAGAACGTGATTATCATTATAAAATACGAATAACCATTTTTTTTGCCCATCAGTTTTTATAAAAATGACACCAATTCCTAGCTGAGATCATGATAGTGATAGTGTCTAAAATGTCTTGTTGTTGTCTTCACCGTTCTTAGGCTTTTCTCTTTAAATTTATTAGTTCTTATATTAAGTAAAGCTGTCCTTTAATAATGTTGTGCATATGTTTTCCTTTAATAATGAACATATCCAACAAAATACAAATGACGACTATCATGACCCAATTTATGCTTTTATGGTAACACCTGTTTTTTTTGTTAATACTGACGTATAGATTTTTTCTAAAGATTCTAATCAACATCTGAATTTCTAATGGTGATGAATTTTATTCATATTTATATATCTATTATGTTTTTTGTTAATATCTTTAACTTTTAAAACAATTTTTAAATCTTTAACTCTGGTTTAGGTGGACTCACAAAACCAGGGTTTGGATAGTAAGCCTAATCTTAAAGCGCAGTAATACAAATTTAATTATCATTTACTTATACGTTAACGCAAGTTAAAAAAAGTCTTTGAAGCTTTATTTCTAGAACGTTGCGGGAATTTGTAAACAAACAATTTAATTAAATAATCATTTATTTCAAATAAAATATCTGTATTTTTTAATTTCACATTTAACAGGCGAAAGCACAAATGCTTTCTTATTTAAACTGGTTTTAATGATGCACTGCTACTAAAACACCTGAGCGCATACTACTGCAATTGATAATAATTTCAGTAAAGCACATTTGTGCAATAAAAATATTTTTATATAAAAAAATTAAAATGTAAACCTTTTAACTATTCTCTACTCCCGCTAACATATCCATTATTGTCAAGTGAATTTATTTTTCACAACGAACGACAATTTAAATATTTATATATGTGAATATATTTTTAAATTTTAAATTGTTTATTTTGTTTATTGTTTTAAGTATATCGTAATATTGTTTTTTTCGCGCAATAAATTTAGTAATTTTTTAAAATGTACAATAAAATTATAATAAATAAGTGTTCGATTTTACATAATTTTCGTTAAAATTGTTACAAAAAAAAAAAAAAAACAAAACTAAATTAATATATGACCTGATGATGGCATAGTTGCCTGCTTCGCTATTACAATTAAAAAAGTAAGTATATTTAAACTAAAGTTTCATGACAAGGGACATAACTATACGAAAGGGATAGGGGACATGCATGCATGGGATACAGTAAATTTAGTTAGCTGCAGACAATTGTTTCATGCGATTTAGTGCACTGCCAGCTTGGAACCATTCGATTTGTTGTTCATTCATGGTATGGTTCAATTTGATTTTGTCGACCTTACTGCCGTTCTTAATTTCGCATTCTACTTGTTTACCAGGTGACAAACTCTTTAAACCTAACAGTGAGATTTTACTGGTTGGTTGAACCTGAAACACAAAATTAAATATAAATTTAGTTCATTTCATTTATATTTATATTTCATTTATAAATATATTTATCTACCTTGTCGTAATCAGCAGGATTAGCAAATGTCAATGGCAATAAACCTTGCTTCTTCAAATTTGTTTCATGAATACGGGCGAATGATTTCACAATAATAGCACGACCACCCAAATGACGTGGTTCAAGAGCGGCATGTTCGCGAGATGAGCCCTCACCGTAGTTTTCATCACCAACAGCTATCCATTTAATGCCATTAGCTTTGTAGTCGCGTGCTACATCGGGTACACCACCCCACTCTCCAGTGCGTTGATTTTTGATTTTATTCATTTCATTATTTTCGTAGTTGGTAGCACCAATGAACATGTTGTTTGAGATGTTGTCCAAGTGACCACGATATTTTAGCCAAGGTCCAGCTGCTGAGATGTGATCAGTTGTACACTTTCCTTTGACTTTAATCAAAACAGTTAAATCTTTAAGATCGTTGCCGTCCCATGTATCGAAAGGATCTAACAATTGTAAGCGTTGACTTTTGGGATCAACATCGACTTTTACGCTTTCACCGCTCTAAAAATATTGATGAAAAAATAATGTTTATTTTCAATAAGTATAAATGATGAAACTTACAGCTGGTGGTGCATCATAAGTATCCATGCCAGGATCGAAGCCCTTAGAAGGCAATTCATCACCAAATGGTGCTTTCAATTTAAATTTCTTGCCATCGGAACCTGTAAGTTCATCAGTAAGGGGGTTGAAATCTAAACGACCAGCAATAGAAAGTGCTGTAACCAATTCAGGGCTGCGAAAAATTTCAATAAAATACCATTAAAATACACAATGTAAATATGTATTTTTAAAAAATTTACCTGGTAACGAAAGCATGTGTAGCTGGGTTAGCATCATTACGTCCAGTGAAGTTACGATTGTAAGAGGTAACAATTGTATTTTTGTCACCCTTCTTTATGTCTTTACGATCCCATTGACCGATGCAGGGACCACAAGCGTTGGCCAATACAGTGCCGCCGAATTTGGAAAATACTTCAGATATACCGTCACGTTCAATTGTTGCGCGAATTTGTTCAGAACCGGGTGTGACATTGAATGGAATTTTCGACTTAATACCATGGCTCATAGCATCATTGGCAATGCTAGCACAACGACCCATATCCTCGTATGAAGAGTTGGTGCATGAGCCAATCAATCCTACTTTAATATCAACTGGATAACCATTCTTCTTAGCATTGCCACCCAATTTACTAATAGGATGTGCCAAATCTGGTGTAAATGGGCCGTTAACGTGGGGTTCAAGTTGATCGAGATTGATTTCAATAAGTTCATCATATTCGCAGTTTTTGTCAGGAGATAAAATCTTTTGTTGGAATTTCTTAGCTTCACCAGCAATGCCGGAACGTCCGGTAGATGTTAAGTAAGATGCCATGCGGTCGTTGAATGGAAACACTGAAGTAGTTGCTCCAATTTCAGCACCCATATTACAAATTGTAGCCATACCAGTGCAAGAAATTGAATCAACACCTTTGCCGTGATATTCAATGATAGCACCAGTGCCACCCTTAACAGTTAAAATATCAGCAACCTATTAAATGTTAAAATGTAATATATTAAATATATTGCAAAACAATAAAAAACTCTCTGTTATGTACCTTCAAAATAACGTCTTTAGGTGAAGTCCAACCACTAATCTTGCCAGTTAAATGTACACCAATAACTTTCGGACATTTTAGTTCCCATGGTATGTTTGCCATTACGTCAACGGCATCAGCACCACCAACGCCAATACACAAACCGCCCAAACCACCACCATTGGGTGTATGAGAATCAGTACCAATCATTAAAAGACCGGGGAAAGCATAGTTTTCAAGTATAATTTGATGAATAATACCACTGCCTGGTTTCCAGAAACCTAGACCGTATTTAGCGCATGCGGAAGCCAAAAAATTGTATACCTCCTTGTTTAAATCCTTAGCACGTTTCAAATCTTGTTCACCACCAATTTGAGCTTCAATCAAGTGATCACAATGTACAGTTGATGGAACAGCTACTTTCTTCAATCCTGATGAGATAAATTGCAGTAAAGCCATTTGAGCAGTGGCATCTTGCATAGCAACACGATCAGGACGCAAACGCAGATATGAGGTGCCGCGGGTGATTTCTTGATTCTTTGGATTATCCAAGTGAGAATATAGAATTTTCTCAGATAAAGTCAGAGGGCGATTTAAACGTCCCTTGACAATTTCTAAATTTTTGTTTAATTTGTCGTAAGGCATAAACACATCTGAATCAAATTTGGATAGTGCTACCTTGGAAGCCGTATAGCAGGAGGCATGAAATTGTCGTGATTGTATGTCAATGGCATATTGAGCTGCTTTTCGGCTCTGTAAAAGAAAAATGGTTTAATTAATTTTGGCATAAACAAATATACATAGTTGTTCTTAAACATAATTGCAATTTCTTTTCAGTAAATCATTTCTTTTTTAATACTGGAAATAAATAAAATCCATACAGAAACAAATCTGGTGAATAGGATGGACGTGATAGTACCTGTCAATTAATTTTACTATTGGAATTGGAGACAAATTAGGTTGTAAGTACCAAATTTTTTGTTTTAATTTTATCTTAGTAGTCTGCTTAGATGAATAGACTCTTAGCCTGCTAAGAGGCTAAGATATATAATCTGTCGGATATAATAACCTTTCCTGCCAATGAAATTGCTTTGCATTTTTTGGAACATGTTCATAGAGATTGTAGACTCAAAACATTATAACATTATAATAAAACATTATAGGCTAGGTTTATTTGAGTGGTCGTGAGACACACATAGATCTATTGGTTCATTGTGATACCAGATGAAACACGACCTTTATGTAGATTTGTAATAGGCATTATGTAGGATGTCGATGTTTTTCCGATGCTATGCAACGCTTGAAGCTTCATTTTTGAGTTGTCTTTTAACAACTCAATTTATGTAGTCCTTAGTATGCAGGAAATTAACTGAAGTGAGGTTCTAAAACTATCTATACACGTATATAAGGTAGGTAGGTTGGATTGGCGGCCTTGTTTACCAAGAAAGCCCACTTGAGCACAAATAATGGCCCGTTGTGGTACCACAAGGAAAAAGCGATGTTCGTATATAGACAAGGTGATCAGTATATGACCAAAGCCCAACAGAGAGGCAACGACTCCCCCATTAGGTGAAGGAGAACCAACCTGACAGTTCTATGAATCTAGCTAGGTCCTTCACATTGTAGGATGACAGCTCAGTCAGATCGGTCAGAAAAGGGGCCCCCAAGATTTTTGATCTTCTTCTGGCTAAAGATGGGCACTGACATATGAGATGGAACACAGTTTCCTCCTCGTCCTCAGAGCCACAACCGCGACAAAGGTCATTATAAGGAAGACCCAGTCTCATAGCATGCCTCCCTATTAAGCAATGACCCGTCAGCACCGATACCGTAGTACTGAGCAGATCTCTCTTTAGTTGGAGCAGCTGACCCGTACGGTTTTTATCCAAGTTAGACCAAATCGACCTAGAAATGTGACAACTGGGCTCACTTGCCCATTGTTGCTGAGCAATGCTTGCTATTGCAAGTGGAACGCCAATTTCTAATAAATGAATATCAGGGAGAAGAGCCTCAGTCTTGGCCAGCTCATCCGCCCTACGTATATAAGACAAGAAAGCGATTATAGTTTAATATGTCAAAAGTATATTCTGTTTGATATTTAAAAAATTTTAACTGAATTAACTTTAATCTATAATTTTTATAGACAGAACACATTCTTATTGAGCACATTAGAAAATTCTAAAGCGGAAATAATTAGTAAATTTGTTATTAGATAATTGTGTTTTGAGATCTTAGCCTGATAGAAAAATACTACGCTTTTAAAAATATATACAGATAACATAATTATAATTTATTAATAAATTATTAAATATGTATTAATTAAGCGTAATTAAGAGAGATGTTTACTTTTAATCAAAACGTCTAATTTATTTACAAACCTGAAATGTTTTATTTAAAAAAAATCTAATTTGTGCGATTATACAACATAACACGGTCGTAGATATAGATGGGGGCTTGTCTACAGAAAATACACTCTCCGATGTTTATAAGTTGTGTAGTAATTGTACTATTCATATGCAAGTAATTTAAACTTGTGACAAAGCATTTCAAGTATTTTCTCACGCCTCTTATATACCCCTATACCCCTTATATTTACAATTATATGTCTGTCTCTGTGTTATGCCCAATTAACAAATTATCTTTATATGCCAGCATTTGTGTTGGCCTTATTCCAAAACTTAATAAAAAATAAAGTAAATAAAAAGACAAGTGTATATATATATATATATATATATATTTTTTTTTTTCTTACAAATTAACACTGTTTCGTTAATATAGCATTTGTATAAATATATAAGCCTAAGGTAAATACTAATTTAAACTGACGAAGTACTCACATCCCACAAGTATGCAAATCTAATCACACCAAGTTAGATGACTAGAAAAATAGATTATAGAAGTGTCAAGCTATAATAAAATGAAGGTCAATTAAAATAAACAATTTTTTTTTTCATAAAAATATTTTTTTATGTAAAGTGCACAATTAAAATATAACAGTTTCAATCCTAAAAATAGGGAAAATAATACGAACTTTCTAGAATAAATAAAAAAATTGTAGGAAAAATAGTACTAAGTTTTGTTTTAATTCCTACATAGAGATTATCCAATGTTATGTTATGTTGAGTCTTTTCCCAGTTAATGCATCTGGGCACTTTTACTCTATGATGGCTGGGGGGTTTCTGTAGAATTCCACCCATCTCACTGACTAATTTGAGTATTTCTCATAATCGTCGTGTTTATTCAATGATTGAACTAAGATCTCCGTACCGCCCCATGCGGTTAGTGATTACTTTAAGCTTAGATAGTGCTAAGTAGGGCATACTGTCTGTTTTCGTATATAGCTTCAGAGCTCTGTCCGATGTACACACATATATACGTATAAAGTAATAATTAAATTATAGCAGTTCTAGCGCTGAAATGAGAAATATTCTTGTTGTTGTTGTTGTGATTTGAGTTAGTGCTATTGCGTACTTTTACTCTTTTGTAGCTGTGGGATTTATCCCTGCCCCCACACTAAACTTTAACTATACTAGAATTATTATCATTTATTTATCTTCTAACTGATGATGGACCGTAGATCAGCATATATATATATGATATATGTGATTATCAACATGCCATTGGGCTTATGTTCATATCAAAGATTGCTGTGTAAATGAAGTTGAGAGCATTTGTTGAGGCTGTAGGCGTTTCACTTTAATGTGCTTGGATAATAAGGCATGGGCTTTTGATTCTCATGCTTTTCGTACTTGTTTGTCAAGTTTGCAAAGTTTGTAAGTATAACTTGAACTTATATAAGTTTAAACTTGTAAAAGTTTATTGATCATTCCTCTTATTTACTAGATCTAATACCCATTGATTATTCAAAGGTTTTGTTTTAAAGTTGAAAATTTGGTTAAGAAACAAAATTCAGCTTGTTGTTATTGAACAGTGACTCTAGGACGTAGACCCGGCCGTTCTTGGAATTGATAAAATTTCTGTTAAAGAAAAATATGTTAACTAACACCCACCCCATTGTAGTGGCCAGGTTTTTCCGTCTGAACCCGGATTGATTTCAACTTAAATCTCATATATCTCTAAACCACACATCTTCTCCCTTAATCCCCTCCACCACAACATCAACCATCAACCATTACCCATCTAGATCCTAACCCATATGATTCGTCTTGTAAAACATTTCATGTTATCTGCTTTTAGATAAAAATAGGTTACCACAACAACAACATGATAACTATTATAAATGAATATTTTAATTATCTAAATGCAATACGATAATCAGAGAGACTTTAAATTTTATAGATTGTAACAAACGTATCTCTATAAGACTAGACTAATTGTCTTTTGCAGAACTCTACATTAAATCAAATAAAATTTTAAGGTTAAATAATTTAAAATTCGAAAACACTTCCAAATTAATTAACATAATTAACTGCAGTATATAATAAAGTTTTTTTTTATAATTTCATAATTTCTTATTTATTTGTTATAAAAACTGGATAAATCTTTATGCATTCGCCGTATTATCAGAATAAACGAAAATAAATAAATAGTACTGTTCATGTATATATATATATACATATATGTATGTACTATGTATGTATATAATATAAGAAATACTGCGACATTTATCAAAAACGTAAAACAAGTCACGAGTTTATGTATTAAATAAGAGAAGCAAAAACTAAAATAAACAAACTGGGAATGTCGCAAAAAAGATAAATTTTTTCAGTCAAAGTTAATTTTTGATATATTTTTTTCTTTTTCAAGTAGTTCTATATATATTGTTACTGATAGAGCAGTAACAATACTTCAATACTTAGTTAAAAGATTATATAGTACAAGATTATATAGTAATCTACTACTCAGAAAATGAAATTAATTTATTACGCAGAAGGTTATCATCAAATATTTATATGCGGTTAGAAACAATAGTCAATTTTTGTCAACTAAATTTACAACTAAAGCCCTGCCTTTACTACGAAAGTAAGATCGAGTATTTTCATTAAATAAATTTGCCCAGTGGCTAGATCAACAATCTAGGTTAATCTGGTGGACCCTAAACTAGAGGAAGCTAGATCTTTACATATATATATTGGTATTTCATTTATTATTATTTATTTATTTCTATTTGAGCCCTTTTACGCCTTGACTGGATTATTGTTTATCACTTCATCAGACTAAGCAATAATTGATCTCAGTTCTGCATACCTCCCCGAGGAGCCTGTAACCATTCTGAGATTTGATAACGCGGTGTTGGTTAGTTTGTCAGTTTTCGCAAATAATTTCAGGGCTCAATCTCATTTATTATTGTTTTTACAAATCTAAAGAGTGTTGAAAGATACATTCATGAGCTATCTTTTAACTTCCTGAGTTGTAGAGCAAACACAAATTTTAAAAGCGTGGTGACAACACAAGACCTAAACATACACTCCAAGACTAAACTCAATTTTGAGTTTCTTTTTTTCCCGTTCAACATTTTATCTAATTTTTTCTTTCTATTTGCTATATAGGTAAATATATATTGTTTGATTCTGTTTCCCCAGGTACCAATGTTAAATAGTTATAAAAATCTTAAACTAGTTACAAACTTCAAATAGCCTAAAATGATTCTCATTTTTACAATGATTATTATACAGAACATAAGTTACATTAGGTTTATACCGTTTATACCCCGAAATATTGAACAAGTTTATTGCCACAGACTTAGTATTATAGTGCACAAGACAACATCGTTGTTGTGGCAAATTTGTTTTTTCTTTTGCTACATAGTTGTTGCATTTGAAAAATTACAAAAACAGTTTCCTGTGCTATCCAACTCAGTTCAATTGAATGTATTACGGAGCGAAATAAGAAAATATTATTAATAATTGGCAAATGAATTTCCTATTACGATTAAAAATGTTAAAAGAAAACCTTTTTCTGAATAAGTTTGCAAAAATCTGTTAGTTTTATTGCACAGTGTAATTATATGTTAGTAGGAATATATGAATAAAAATTATTGAATTTAATTATTATATAATTTAATTAAATTATATTATTTAATTTAATTATTTCATTACTTAATTTCATTATTATATTATTCTATTTAATTAATTTATAATTTAATATAATTATTTTATTACTTAATTTAATTGTTATATTAATTCATTTAATTATTTCATTACTTAATTTAATTGTAATATTATTTAATTTAATTATTTTATTATTTAATTTAATTACTATATTATTAAATTTAATTATTATATTATTTTATTTAATTATTATATTATATAATTGAATTATTATACTATTTAATTTAATTATTTAATTTAATTATTATATTATTAAATTTAATTATTATATTATTTAATTGAATTATTATTATATTTGATTTTTGACGAAAGTTTCCATTTCCCTAATAGAAATGATTGGTTTAATGAAGAGGTATTGAATTGAATTTTTGGTTGACCTGATACAGCTCTTATGGATATTGGCACATTTTATTATTATATTATTTAATTTAATTATTATAATTTAAAAGCTGAATAGCAATTAGCTAAAAGCATAGTTTGTAACTATTTTTTGGTCAGTATTTCAGACCACCAATGTCTCTATCCGTTATACTAATATATATATTTATATATAATATATATCGTATATATATCAATATTCACCATTGAAGAATGAATGGTCTCTTCAAATTCATTAACTGAACTAATGTTGATAATTCATATTTTTCATTCATGAATTCATTATCAGCAATAAAATATATTTTACCTAGCAAATAATTAAATTCACTTGAATTAGAACCAGTAAAGTTAGTGCTGAACTGGCTTAATGAAATCGCAACATAGGTTGTTGAGTAATAACGGTAATTATACGGGTACTTGCTGGTGTTATCGCGTAATATTGGATTGACAACGACAATAAAAACTGAACAAATGAAAGAAATTAAAAAAAAAGAATCTACGTAACCAAAATACTAACTAGTGAACAGTTTCGGTAGAGTTTACGATAAGAAACCCGATAACATTGGCTAAGGCTAAATACTGGAAATATTTTTAACTATATAACGACCCAATCTCGGTATACCGTACACAGAAAATTCCCATAATAAAAGTGACTATAAATTTCAAGCTGATAATAACCTTTACAATCTATGGCTTTGCTATTTATACTCAAAATCTTGTGACCAATATAAAAACCGCTTCACTTATCAAAAAAATCAATTTTGAAATACTTTAAGTGAATAAGAACTGTTAATGCCTGATAAAAATGACAACGGATCGGAAGAATTGGAAGCTACTTATGAGAAACTGATAATAATGTTTGTTATTATTTTATACCAAAAGTTATTTTTTATAGTTTAATTTACTTATTTATTTGTGAAATTTTTAATATACTCGTATACTTAAAAAAATAATAATTATTTTGTTTAATAGTTTATTTACGATATATCTTCAGTGATATTAAGTAAACTTTTATTTAGAATTAGATTATTTAACAACAGAGCTTAAGTTCCATTGAACTTAGAATAAGTGGACATATAATTATAGTCTTCTATGTGATAGGCTTATAAGGTGGTGTCTTTTCAATCTTATAAACCCATCCGTTTTATCGACTAAACTACTTACTACAAATGGCTTCAGTCAGTCTTTAAGTGATTCTTCAGTCTATAATGGTATTTTGTTGTGGTGTTTATAAGTATGGTATTTATAAATTTCTCGACAACAACGAAAATATGAATGTATCTCAGTTGTTTATGATATCATTATAAGGTTTTGGATATATGACTATGTATAATTTTAATACTAGGTAGCGTTAAAATTGATTTCAATAGGTTCACAAGGTACTGCTTCCCTTAAGCATTTATTACATATGTATAATGAAATTATATATATAAAGAGACGGCTTTAACTCAAAGACTTGATTCACTCTTCATCTATGTCAATACCCAGCTTACGCCCTCTAATTGTTTTGTAATTCTTTTATCTTGTCTGTTCTATAGATTTTCGTGGGTTAGAATAACATCAACAAAAACCTAATGTAATTGTTTAATTAGAATAAACAAAATATATAAGATTAATGGCCGGCAGACGGCGAAAATGCCATATCTGTAAGCTTTATATATATAATATAATTATTATAAATTTCTATCTAATACAACATATTTAAAATAAAGTAAAATAAAGCTAAAATACTACTGCTATAAGATTAATAAAATATTCAAATATTTTTAAAATTATGTAGATTTATGTAAGCATACATATGGGCTTCTCTCAAGCAGTTCCTATTGTAGGAGCAATTTTATAATAATAATACGAACATTTATATAAGCTTTTCATATTGATATATAATAGTTAGAAATATTTTATATACAAATTAATCACCTATTAAGTCATAAATATTTAAATGTTACCAACAATGTGTTAACGATCCCATCGTCAAGCAATTGGGTCACTTAAGAAGCCTCTCGAAACGTCTGTGTTATCACATAATATATGTTGATTTGCACAGACAAGCAGTAATTAAAAAATATATAAACAATTTTATAGCAATTAATTGAAATATAAGAATTTTCGTGTCGGCAGCAACGCATTCAGAGCAGAAATATTTAATAAGCTACTGCCTTACGTCTTCACTACTACCATTTAAAGTGAGAATAAAGATACAATGCGCAAGAATACGTACGTCCACTTGGTTAGGTAACAATTTATACCATCAATTGAGGTTAGAATTGTGCTATAAAAAATGTATAGAATTTTTGGCAATAGCCGGAAAATTTTTAAGAGAACTATACGAATATGATAAATATTTGCCGAACCGTTCCAGCGTTTTGTTTATTATTTAACTAAACAATATTACTTGGCACATTTGACAAACACACAAACAGACAGTTTCCACTGTGTGAACCTTTTAATATTTAGCACATTCCTGAGACTTACCTGCGTATGCAAAAATCTCACAGTTGCGGCCATTTTTTGTTGTTTAAAATTTTTTTGTATTAAACGAAATACGATTTCGGTTTATATTAAATAATTGTTTTATAATCAATATATTAAATTTATAATTAATAGCACTCGCATTTATCTTCAGCCTTCTCAGCTGGAAGATTTCAATACTGACTGAATTCCTAAATTTCCCATAATGTTGAATTTCACATTATATATATATAATGAGGGAAATTATTTCACCGCCACTTTCAAAAAACACCACAATGCCATCTTGTGATGAATTGTAATTTAGCATTGACACACACCAATATGAGGAAGTACATATTTTCTGGAAAATTATAATCAAGGTGTATATAAAAAGACAGTGAAAAAAGAAAATAAGTAAAACAAAAAGAATATAATATAAATAATAAAATAAAAAAAATATAACATGAAAAAAATATAAAAAAAAATATACTAAGAAAAACAAAATAAAAATAATATAATATGAATAATAAAATAAAAAAGTAAAATATGAAAATAAAATAAAAAAACTATGATAAAAAAATATGAAAAAAATAAAACAAAATGCAACAAATCAAAAAAATATGAAGATAAAAAACAAACAAACGAATATAAAATAAAAAACTATAAAATAAACAAAATAAAAAAAAGTAATAAGAAACAAATGATTAATGAAAAATCGTTAAATATAATTAAACTAAATTTAAAAAATATGGAATATTAAATAAAATAAAATAATCATACAAAAAAAAAAAAACAAAAGTTAAAGATAATAAAATGACAAGAAAATTAAACAGAAGAAAAGATAAAATAAATTAAAATAAAATAAAAGAAAACAAACCATAAGATAGTAAAACAAAAAATAAAATAAGGAGAATATAAAATAAAAATAAAAATATAATATTATAGAAATAGAAATATAAAATAAAAGAAATATAAAACTAAATAAAAAGAATACAAAATTTAATTAAAATATTACAAAAAAGAAAATAAAATAAAAAATAAATTAGAAAAAACAAAATAAGTTAAAAGAAAATGAACGAAAATGAAAAAAATAGAAAAAAAAGTAAAATAAAAGAATATAAAATAAAATGAAAAAAAAGCATAAAATAAAAAAAAGTTAAGTAGGAAAACATAAAATGAAAAGAATATAAAACTAAATAAAAATAATATAAATAAGAAAATTTAATTAAAAATTAAATAAAATAAAATAAAATAAAATAAAAGAAATAAAACAAAGTAAAAAGAAGATGAAATAAATAAAAGTAAAAGAAAATGAAACAAATAAAACGAATGAAGTAAATGAAGTAATTTTAAAAAATTAAAATAAAAACATTGAATAATTGAATAGGAACAACATAAATTAAAAAAAAATAATATAAAATAAAATAGAAAACAAATAAAGCAAAAAAAAAATCTGAATAAAATGAAAAAAGCATGAAATATAAAGAACATAAAATAAAAAGAAACTAAAGTAAAAAGAACCTTAAAATAAAACGACAATAAAACAAATACAACGTTGAATAAAAATAATACAAAATAAAATAAAAAGAAGATGCAATAAAAAGAAAATAAAATAATATAAAATGAAAATAAGAATATCATTAAATTATTTTAAAATATTATAGAAAAATTTTTGTTTTTTTTTTATATCGATTTAAATTATAAAACAATTAAAAAAATTGTATAACTTTTTTTAGGACTTTTTTTTCTTTTTTTCTTACAACAAAATATATTACACATTTTCTTCATATATATAATGTAATTAATTTAAATTAAAAATATTATAAATTTAATGAAATAATAATTTTTAAATAACAATGATCTGAAAAAAATATATATTAATATATAATAAATTGTTTATTAAGAATGGTAATTGCATAATATTAAATAAAATTACGTCAATTATAAAATAGCTCACATTTTAATAATTTAAAAAAATAATAAAATAAATCTGGAGAGTACAAATTGGGACAATTGTTGAGAATATCTTCTTTATATATTGCTACAAAATAGTTTAAAATTAAGAAACTAGTATTTGATAGAATTTATTTATCAAATATTCTCTTATTTAAAAATCTATGAATTTATGCATTTGCAGTCAAAATTTTGATTCAAATTTTTGATCGAAAAAATTATTTATAATTTTGTATTAATATTGTATCTTGGCACTGGGTGTTAGATATATAAGAATAATGTGAAAAGTTGATTAATCTTTTAATAAAGCAAATCAAAGTCAATTACTAATTTATATTTATGTCTGTCCGTCCATCAATTCGATATAATATAAATTAACAATTGTTCGGCTTACAATTGTTATGTTAATTTTTTAATTTAAATTATTGTTAAATCCAATGGAAAGATCCAATAAATAAATAAGTCTATAAATTTTCTTTGTTACCTTGAAGGTTTTATTAGATAAATAAATATATAAAAAATTATAGTGATAGCTCTATGTAAATGGAAATGAAACTGCCTTTAAGAGAATCATCCATTAAAAAGTAAGTACTTTGTATAAAAATTATGAACTGGGAACTAGGAACATTGCACTATTAAGCGTGTTGTCTGTTTATGAGACCGTTCGCTTAACAGAGGTTTTACTGTATATACAAATATGATATTAAATTTGGTAATCAATAACAATATTTTAAAATATTAAACACTTAATACTACATTAATTATGAAATGGAAGATTACTCCCACAAATGCATAAATTTGATCCATGCAAAAACACAAATCTAACAGACGATAGAAATCGCAATGCAATGGATGGTGCTCACAGATGAGAAATCTTAAAGGTTACACGTCTATTTTGTCTTGCAGTGGGTGCTCCGAAATAAAAACTAAAGGTTTTAATTTTAAAATGGTTGCTTTTTTTTAGAAAAAATTACAAAAGTCAATTTCGATCAAAAAAAAAGCTACCAAGGGGGAATCGCTATACTCTTACTAATATGTAGAAGTGCTACTTACATATGTAGATCTAACAAATCTAAAAATACTCGTGATCTTCGGAAACCAAAGTTAAGTTATTAAAAGAGTTTGATAAATGCGCTAAGAAAAAATTAACGTTGTATAGTAATTTATATAGTAAATATACACTACTATATATACTACTACATAGTTATGGTAATTTCTATATAAAATACAGTTCGATAGCTAGTCTGTTATCTGCTAGTCTGCTTGTTAGATAGATATTGATATTTTCATTTAGCAACAAAATCTGCCATCAACTATACACAAATAAATAAAAAACTTTTTATTAGATGCTCCCTCAACATTCTTGGGTGTATAAAAAATAAATCCTTATACGATACTGAATACCCAAAGATGGAAACTCATCCTTTTGATAGCAGAAACTAATTAAATTCATCCAATAAGTTCATCTGCATTGAAAATATCCAAGAAAGGTATGTAGATATTTTTAATGTCATTTCTGAATATAAACTTAGTACCGATGAGACTTTAAATTAGAACGATGATGATACTGTCGATATCACATCCGTTAATTTTTTTTTTTTCTCTCCATGAGCTGCCCTATCTGCAGCTCTTCTCTCCATGACATCGCTCATCTGTTCTTCTGTCCTATCACTCACACAATTGGTCTATAGAGCCACCCAATTGAAGTGGACAGGTTTCTCCGGCTGGGTCCAGGCTAACATTCAGTTTCAGCGCACTCACCCAATCCTTCTCATTCTCTACCCCACTTCATCTCCACCAACCACTACCTACCAACTTCAGTACTCATGTACATGAGTCTTGTATATCCTTTCATGTTATCTGCTTACAGGTCCCAGCGGGTCCCAACAACAACAGTTTGTTTGTGGCTTTCAAGTCCAAATGGTCAAATTTAAAACCCAATAGTTTAAAAACTTAGTTTATATATTCATATATATGTAGTAAAAAAAACTGTTCAAAGCAGCTGGCTCAGTAAAATCCATTGTCAAATAAGTGTGCTCGGGAAAACGAAATTTTTTCAAAAGATATCATCACTAATAATTATATGCAAAACGAAGGTTTATTCTAAGTTTTTAAATATATTGAACTAAAAATTATATTTTTGAATTATTTTTGCTCTTTTTTTACATGTAATGTTTTACAGATACGGAAAATTAGAACATCTTAGAAATTGAAATTATTAGAAAAAGCAATGGTTCCAATTTATGAGCGTCTACTGTACAGAAGAAAGAATGCTTACAGTAAGAATGCCATTTGGCATGTTATTTCTTATATATCCATAAAACAAGTTCCTGAGTACAAAAATAATCCTGATGCTCTAACTTATTCCTTTCATTTTCGAAAAGGATTATTCCTTTCTTCGATTACCAGAAAAAAAAAGCACGTTAGTGAGAAATTAATAATAAACTGAGCAGAAAAGGTCTTAGAACCCGAGCTTTAATTCTTTAACAATTTATTACAGACAATAACAATACAGACAGACAATAAGTACAAAATCTTCAAAGAAATTTATTACTAATATAGAATAATATTATTATTGAGTCACTGCGATGTTAATAAATTATTATGCATACAGTGTAAGAGACTTACCAGTTTTATACCTCCGTCAAGAATCACACATTGCTGTAACTTTTCCGATAAGCTTAGAGTACTTTTGATGACCCAATGTTCTTAAATTTGTTGTGAGTTTCTGATAAATCTAAAATAGTTGTACCTTTTTTCCTGAAGGATGTACTGTCGAAACGATAATAATGGTGTTACTTATGAACAGTGTTATTAGTTTTCAGTATTTTTTTAAAAAATTTAAAATTTATTAATTTATATCACTAATATATTAATATTAATTTAAATAAATATTTCTTAAATGATAAATTAATTTCAAACAATTGCATTATTTAAAGTTTTATTTCATATTACAATTTGAATCCATGTATGACAAAAATATAAACAAATACAAACAAATTTCAATAAATGTATAAAATAGTATGTAGCTATGAATAAATTTGCATATATATTTAGTTTCGTCATAATTTCACAAAAATGAATAAAAATATATAATTAAAAAAATGAATTTATATGTTTTGATAATTTACATCTAAAAATATTTCATTAAAACTAATTGACAGTAGTTGTAGACGATAGATGGCAGTTCTGACACATACATATGTTTTTGATACATTTGAAAGGGAAATTGTTGGGATTTCTTTTTTAATAATAGCGCCAAGTTTCTTATTTTAATTTATTTGCAAAATAAAAGAAGTTTGTGAGTAAAAATTTGAAAGTATTTACTTTAATATTGAAATATAAAAGAAGACGTTGAAAGTTACGTATTATTCTCCGACTTAAATACTTTGCAAGAACTTTATTTGAGTGCAACATTTTTATACATTGTTTTAGACTGCAGTTCCTAGTAATGTACGGATTGTATTAATACATTCACTAATACATTTGTTGCTTTTCTGTATTATTTTAATTAACTTCACTTATTTTGTCAACATATGTTAGGAATCTTGTACGATAGCATAAAGTAAACATTATACTTAGACAGTCCATTTGAGGCAACGCGTTTCTTGATGAATCTTCATGCAAGGGATACAGCAGTAACGAGTGCCGCAAGCAGTACAGGTATAATTAGAAAAATAACCACACACAGCGCAGAATTTACGCTGTGGAGTAGATGGTTCTGGTGCTATAGCTTGTATATAAATAGGAGTCTCATCACCGCAACGCTGTTTTTCTTCATCAAGTAGCTGTTGAAAATTTTTTGGATATTTAAGACGAAAAGCTTCAAAGGCTTTGTTGCGTTTCTTCCTCTCCTTTAGTTTCTTACCATTATCCTGGAACTTGGGTATTTTCTTGGACATGACTAAGTCACCATGTGGATCAGAGTGATAATTATCTTTTTCCAAAGCCTCCAGCTGTTTCTGAAGGCGTAGTTTGCGTGTGGCGTCATCAATTACACGTTTTTTTGTTGATTCTCTAATACGGTTGGATATATCGCGGGTGGTCATCTTAACTGATGAGTTAAAAAGATTTTGTTTTGCAAACTATTTTTTTGTCAGCAGTCATATATACATGAGTTTGAAGATTTTTAATTGATAATAATTGTTTATGTTTTGGGTAATAAAATTGTAGTACAACGTTAAAGGTATATCGACATACTAGGACAATTCTTTCATAGCAGGAGCACTGCAAAATATAAAAAAACAAATACAATTTAGAACAACTTGAATAAAATGTTTTATATTTCTTTACAGCATAAACGAACCAAGAAAAAAAATGTCAAAACGCAAGGCATTAAGTGCTGAAGAAAAATCTGTAAAAATGTTGGAAATCTTCCATGAGAGCAGCAGCGTTTTTCAATTAAAAGAGTTGGAGCGCATAGCTCCTAAAGAAAAGCACATTGTGGTTCAATCAGTTAAGAGTACATTAGAGGAATTGGTAAATAATGGACAAGTACATAGTGAAAAAATAGCTGGCAGTATTTATTATTGGTCATTCCCCAGGTATGAATGCATCTAGCATTTCGCCAGAAAAAATTTATCATTTTTTTTTATAGCGAAAATTTCAACACAATAAAAAATCAATTAAAAGAAAAGGAAGCAATTTTAAGTAAATTGCTTAATAAAATTGAAATAGCAACTGAGCAATTGCAAAGTAGCACAAATGCATTGGAGAATAGTGCAGATACTGACACATTACAAACTAAAATCGCAACATTAAAAAAGGATAAAATTGAACTTGAAAAGCTCTGCGCGGCTGCAATCGCAGATTACGACCACAACGACATTACACAGAAGGCAAATAGTCACAAGGTTATCATGCACTTTTTAATTATTAGTTAGAATTCACTAACATTATTTATAATTTGTTTTACATAGGCACTTTCGGAAGCTGTGAATCGCTGGACCGACAACATTTTCAATGTCAAGATGTGGTGTAAACGCAAATTCGACAAGCAAGGCAGTGAACTGGATAAAGCGTTTGGTATTCCCGAAGATTTAGATTATATGTCTTAATTTTATTTTGTTTATGCCAGGTGTAAAATCATTTTAACTTAAATCTTGTCGTCAAGCAAATTGTTGCATTAAAAAATTAATTGTTTACCTTTTGACTAGCACTCTTTTTACAGTATTTTACATAGTAAAGTATGTATTATATCACTCCACATAATAAGTAATTAGGTAAAAATATTTGTTACTTATTAAAATTATTACATTATGCCAGTAAAAATAAATTTTGCTGGGCTTGTCAATTTATTTCTTTATGTTTTGTCAATTGTATGTTGTTCACAATAGTAAAAACTTTAACATCCACAATGTTTGGAAGTAATTCCTATCAAGAATCATATATTATATGTTGTATACTAGTACTGTTAATTAATAAATTCATTTTTGCTATTAATCAGATGATAAACGAACATAATTTAAGCTGGTATTGAAGCCTATGTATTTCTTCAAACATTGCAATGAGTTCCCATGCAATTGTGTTAAAAATTACATTTAGTTCACAATAGATATTTTTTTGGAAAATATTTTTTGCTGCAAACAGAAAAGCAGAATATATTGACATTGTCCGACATTGTTGGACGTAAAATGAAAATAAAATCAAACAATTGCATAAAATTACAAAATCAAACAAAACTTGACAGTTTCTCTTAAGTATTGCCGAGCGAACTGTAAAAAAGTAGTAATATTCACAATAGAGTCTTGAAAATCAAATATGCAAAAGATAATTGGTGTTGAAAATATAGTCTTGAATTTTGTCTTGCAATCCAAGTGTTTATGCAAAGATGCACAGTTGTCCTGAATACCCCTAATATGAATATTTATAAATATATAATAAATAAAAAGTTATATACAGTTTTTTGTTTTAATGTTAACTTTTTTATTTATTGTATTTATTATTGGTCAATTGTTCAAATAATAACCTGTTAAATTATTTTTAAAAATTATTTAAAATGTTTATAATATATATAATTTTATAGTATAATTTAGTGGTTAATTATACTATTTTCAGACACGAAATTAGTTAATTTTTTCCATAAAAAATTTAGTTTTAAGGTTAGAACGAAATTAATTTTGTTGAAACGTTGCCTGAAATTAAGGGAAATTTTAAATGCAACTATGAGCAAGATAAATTTAAAACAAAAAACGAGAAAGTGACATTTATTTTTAAAAACAGCTGACTTTAATAAAAACGAGAAAATATTTTAAAAGTAGTGCACATTTTTAAATTTGAATATAGAGAAAAAACTGTAACTGAAACTATACTATGTGCACATACCTGAAATTCACTAGAGCTAATAAAACTACTGAATGTCATCCTTTAATAATTATAATAAAAAACTAAATATTTTGCATATACAAAATTTCGTTTTAATCACGTTATTTTTAACATTCGATTTTTTGTAAACAAAAAACATGATTTCCTTCATTTGGTGCAGTATTGTAATTACAATTCCATTTCAAAACAAAATTCAGAAAATAGAGATAATATTAGGCAAATTCTTTTGACATAAATATTACAATAGAACACGATTCGATTGAAAATTAATATAGAAAGCAATAACAAAATTTGCAAAAATAAGTCAACTTCCTGAAAGTGCTTAACGAATAAGTCTCTTGCACTGCAATGATGCCAAATCATAAAACTGATCTATTGTGAATAGTTTATACGTACAACTGTTGCCAGTGGTAATGAGTAAATTTAAATATTTAAAAAAAGTAATTTTCATAATAAAATTTTTGGACATAACTGATACGAGATAACAATACGAGATATTGCATACATGCATATTTATGTAAAAACCTTTTTTATATAATTCAACCGCAAATTTGTTTAAAACTTTCTTATTTATTATATGTTGAATGGTTTAGGCGTCTAGTTTAGTTATTCTCAAGCACCAAAAGTTGTTCTATTATTCATGTCAAAATAACCCACCTTAAAAACATTAGTAGGTGTATTTTGTATTCACTTCGTAATTAGGAATAGAAGAATTCTACAGCGATATTGTGAATTACTCTTATAAACTCCGGTTTCTTACAGTTTTTTGGTGATTGTAGCACAGTTTTTATAGTCCAGTTATTGGAGAGTTTTAACAGTTTGAGAATTTGGAGAATTTCAACAGTTTAAAAGCTGCTAAATTTTTGTAAAAAAAATTTTTAATTCGTTTTCGATTGATAAATCTGCATTCAATCTACTAAATTTACTATAGATCTGTCAAATTCTGTTGTTCAATCGAACATTTTTCGAGTAATCTCAAATTTTTGTAGTTGGTGCTTTTTCTGTGTAGCTGTACACAACATAATCCTCAACTCCACTTTGTTCCGTTTTTGCAAGTGATAATATTCCTCTCAATTTCCAACCAAATGTGCTATTATTTTGATTTTATATCTTCTTTCAAAAGGGCAGTAAAATATATAAATAAACAAATTGGGGAAATGTGGAAACAAATTACATTTTTTTATCGGTCAAATCATATAAAACAGCTGACAATTTCAGGGTAATCTTGCTGCTCTGGCAAAATATCTAGAGTGTTATAAATTAATCTCGAGTGTTATACATTAATCTCGAATGTTATACAGATTTACCAATCGGAAATGAAAATTGCACTAAAAGTTAATCTCGATTAAAAAAGTTACCTTAGATTTATCAATCGAAAGCACCATAAGCATAGCTTCAGACTAGGTGATTTATGTACCTAGGAGTAAATGATAGTACCATTTAATGAGTCTGACTGCCTGCGATTTGATTATTACCAAGAAATTAAACCTATTTATCCTCTTAAAATCGCTTGAGCTTGAGCAAAATCTTTTCAAAGAACTTAAAAACAGTTTTGTGTTGCTAAAAAGAGTTTAATTTTAAATTTACTTCCAAACATAGCTTTAAGCATAGCGTAAAAACCATAGATATATGTAGTTATAAGTTTAAGCACCAACTATCAGCTGAGAGCAAACTTATTTGTTGTTAAAAAAGATTTTAATACTTGTGTGAATATAGCAATTGGTAAAAAAACAGAAGATGAGTATTCCCATATGAACTTAATTGATATGTTCAAGAGAATGAAACACAGGAACCCATAAATTGGAAACTTACGAGTTAACATACTGACAACATCTTGTGGGATATTATAAGTAGTGGTAATCCAAATATATGTTAATATGAATTGCAGGTATAGTTGGAATGATAATTGAGCTGGTAGAGACTCGATTGCTAGATGACGTTATGAGTTAAGTCTAAAAAGAGTTAAGTATTGTTATTGTAATTAATATTTTTTTATTAAAAAATAAATTTATTTTTGACTGTTTTTTTTTTTATTGAATTTTTAATAATATTTCATCAAGTTAGTTCTGAAATTCAAAAAAAAATCATATACCAATTCAAAATAATTGTCAAGAGTTTGAATACTTCAACTTTTACGGAAACTTAAATTTCATGTATAATGATTTTGGTATGCCTTTAATATAAAGAAATTGACAAAATGAATGAACTTGAATTTTGGCAAGAACTAAAAAATAATAATGGAAGATCACCCAGATCGATGGCAACTTTTATACAATTAGAGCCGGCTAAAGCTAAGTATAAAAGACCAAAGTTTAAAAAGACTATATATACACCTGTAGCTCGTAAAAATATCAAGAATCACACATATGGAGTTGGTGATGGTCTTAAAAGCATGACGGCTGGTGAGTGGCACTAATCTTTCGAAAATATTGAATTGATATAAAAAAAAAAGATTATTATATCTCAATGAAAATTTGTTGAATTTTATAGATGGCGGACGTGATTCCTTAAAACGCTCAGAGAATAAGAAGAACACTTCTCGAGTTGAAAACGATGCTGTCGGATGTAAAACTTTAAACTCATTGGCAAAACAAACACAGAAAGCCGCATGTTTGCCATCGATCAAAAATGATATGATGATTATATCACGTAAGTATTTTTTCCTATACGTTTTCATTAAATTTTTGTTTTGTGTATTTAAAAATTTTATAACTATTACCCACTTTTCTATTCAAAATAGTCTATTTTAATAAAATAGCATAATTAGCAATATATGCATAGTTATTAAACAACTAATAAATAACTTTCAACAATTTAATTCTTGCAAAAGGTTATCCCACTGTCAACAATCCATGTTTCCTTGCGAAGAATTACAATGTAAGCGCTTCCAAAACCAATGATAATACTCCAGACATTACTGGAAAGAAAGGCAATCTGATGGGTACGAAGGTAAGATCTTTTGTCACTATTTATTCTATTCATTTAAACTAAACGTAAATCATTTTTGTTTAATCATCTATTAGACTGCATCTACAACTTATGTAGGAAATAAAATTGTGTCAAAGTCACCCATATACAAGAAGCCAAGCGTTACTAACCCCACAGCTTTTGCAAGAAAATCTGGAAACATTGTTAGTAAGTCAAAGCAAAATATTGATAAAAAACAATATGGAGCCATTGGAACATCTGCAACACCAACTTCCGTTGGTATGTCAACATTTACTGACACTGAGTTTACAACAAAAACAGTTAGTGAAAATGTGAATACATTAACAAAATCAGCGATTGGTACACCTGGAACACCATCTTCCATTGGAATACCAACTTCTATTGAATTACAAACTTCCACTGGAAGACCAACTGCCATTGGTAGTAAGTTAAAAAAAAAAACTGTTGGTGAAAATGTGAACACATTAACAAAACCAGCGATTGGTACATCTGGGACACGAAAATCCATTGGAACAGCAACTTCCATTGGTACTAAATTCAAAACAAAAACTGTTAGTGAAAATGTGAATACATTAACAAAACCAGCAATTGGTACATCTGGGACACGAACATCCATTGGAACAGCAACTTCCATTGGTACTAAGTTCAAAACAAAAACTGTTGGTGAAAATGTGAACACATTAACAAAACCAGTGATTGGTACATCTGACACACCAACTTCCACTGGAAAACCAACATCCATTCGCAATAAGTCCACAACAAAATCTGTTGTTGAAAATGTGAATAATTTAAGAAAGCCAGTGATTGGTACATCTGCAACATCAACTTCCATTGGAACAGCAACTTCCATTGGTACTAAGTTCAAAACAAAAACTGTTGGTGAAAATGTGAATACATTAACAAAATCAGCGATTGGTACATCTGTGACACTAACTTCCACTGGAAAACCAACATCCATTCGCAATAAGTTCACAACAAAATCTGTTGTTGAAAATGTGAATACATTAAGAAAGCCAGCGATTGGTAAATCTGTGAC